TGATTCTATGATTCTATATATCTGTATATGTTTTGGCTTCACAAATGATGTGTATTTTTTCTAACAACACAGGTATTAATTTCTTGTGATAGAGTCTATTTGCCATACCTGATGGATCAACTTTTCATTTTGTCCATAGGGCAACACCAAGCCAACACTCTGTGTGTATTCCCGTATCAGCATTTCACAGCACTGTTCTGAGGGGGTAATGGGGATAATGAGGTCTTGGTTCAGTGAGCTGGAATTTGAACCCATCAGCCTGGTCTCATATAAAGGCCACGCAGATGCAAAAGATCTGTTGGGTTAGACCTGAACTGGTACAGATGAACAGTTCTATAACCATTAAAGATCTATAAAAAAGTAGGTGCTATTATAAGTGCTTATGGCACTGTGATTTTGAGCTTTTGGAAAACTCAAGCCCTTTCAGTCACTCTGTCTTTGGATAAACTCCTCTATAGTCAAGAGTAAGACTTGGTTGTAATTGCTGAGTATGGCTATACTTACTCTCCCTCCCAAGTGAAGCTGATTCTGAAGCTGAGGTTCCACAGCAGCTTAAACCAATGTAACTGCAAGCTGTGGTGGACCTATCCCCACACCTTCCTGCAGCTCCAGTGCTGAGCAAAGCTTGTGCTGAGCTGAATTAGCCTGCTAAGTTAGCAAACAACCCAGTAATAACGAAAAAAAATCAGAATAATGATACATAACTCTGTTTTAGTCAGTTCTGGAGCCTGAGAGTCTGCTTATAGGCAATTCACAGCTCTCTGGATATCATGAGTGCTGTCGCCAGTAATACAAATGATGAAATACAATATAAGCCATTGATTAAATACAGATCATGTTCTGATCGGTCTAGACCTTAAAGTGCATCTTCACTGAATGCCTCTACTGAAGTGCTGTCCTTCCCCAGCACATGTGCTCCCACCATGAGCAGTTGCAGAGTTGCTAGGGAATCAGATCAGCTTGCTGATTTTGCAGGAAGCTAAGCTGGGGCGGGGGGGGAAATTGTTTATTCAGCAAGCTAATCTGACTCACCATGCCACTATGTAATCTCTTTATACAGTATTCATCTTTCTGCACGTATTACAAGGTTCTTCTATGACTTAAAAGGAGAGCCCATTGCCAGCGCCATACAACCTGACCCTACTAAACTGCTTGCTTACCTGTCTGAAAACAAGTGGAGATGGCACTGTCTTGCACCAGTTGGCTATTTTAGGGAAGTCATCCATTACTTGATTATTGATTAGGAAGTAACAAGAACAAGAGATGCTTAGATGAATCAGAAGCAACATTAGATGTCGTCACAATTTTATATGTTATTGATTCAGGTTCAGTGTTAGGGTCTCCTGACTCGCTAGGCCAGTCTGTGTAAGTGTGTTTTCATATAAAAAGTATACAACTTATTTTAATATATTATTTTGCCTTATTTGGAAGATGTAAGCTCTGCAGCACACCTGCTGCAAATAGAAGGCTGTTTCCTTTCCTTGAAAGCCATGATTAGTGGGGTCAAAAGGCATAGCACAACACTGTAAAATAGACAAGTCTGTAGATGGGACAAATTCATTTTGAAATATGGGTTACTTTGATGAATAAATAGAAGATAAGAGTCAGACCCTTCTCAGAGATGCAGAGGGACAGGACAAATCTTAGAACATGTTAAATTCCAAGAACATGTTAAATTCTGGTTGGATATTAGGAAAAAATTCCATGAGGCTAGTCAAAAATAGGAAGAGATTGCCCAGAGAGATTGTGGAGTCCACATCTCTGGAGATATTAAAAAATGGACTGGACATTTGTTCAAGACCATAAGCAACCTGCTCTAAGTTGATCCTAGTTTGGATGTAGGATTGGACTAGATGACCTTCAGTGGTCCACTCCAGCCTATATTTTTCTGTGATTATATGCTTCCATTTTATGAAAGTGGTTGTGCCATTCATACTGTTGAGTTTTAATCTGTCGTCTGTTGAAGTTGGCTTGTGTGTCAGAGTCCCTGTATATTAAAGAGGCTTTATGGGGTTTGGAAATGAGAAATAACAAGGAATGATGGTTTGGAACACAGACACGTTTAACAATATTCAATAAAAGAGATTAGATTAAAATGTATGATCTCCCGGCTGATGAGACCACTATCTTTTCTTAAACTAGTTTGTCCCATTTTTTACGTGGATCTCTTTCTTTTTTTCCTCCTTTTTGTTTGTTGATACTTCCTTTTGGAGCACCATTTCCTTTCTCTCTCTCAGTCTCACTGTTTTCATTCTTTATCTGTGCAGTTCCAAACTGCCCCCCTGGCACTGCCTCCTTTTAGCGCTGCTCTCCACATCCTCCCCCTAGACCCTGGTGGTGATGGCTCCCAGAATCCTATTTCTAGGCAAGGGTGCCTTCAAAGAGCTAATTATGAACCTGTCAGAACCTGCTGATTTTTGTTCCACTCCATAACTCCTTGGTAACAGAAAGTCACAGTCAGATAAATGAAATCCTACTTTATCATAGATCTTATCCTTATTCGATGGCTCCTTTGCCAAGGTTGAATACAATGTTTTGAACAGCACCAGTGTTAGAATTATTACTTAATAAAATCAGATTCAGAGACAGAATCACTTACAATGCTGTGAAACCCTTTTAAGCTGTATTCACAGTCAGGCTTTAATGTGTCAAATCCTGTTGGTTCATGTTTGGAAGGATGTTTTAAAATTACATTAGGAGACTTGATTTTAAAAATGCATTGCAATAGCTGTCTGTAAAGAGGAGTAGAAATTCAATTATTTGGTATTTGGAATTGGCATAGTAGTTGCATGCTGACTTTGTGTAATTACATAGTATATTTTGTCTAATTTTATCATGATAAGAGCAAAATATTGAGTGGTATTTTTATCATGATTGGAAGTTTTCTGCAGAAACCACTCTTTCTGAAACACAGCACTCTTGTTTTGTGGGTGTTTGGGGTTGTTTTGTTTGGTGGCTGGATTTTTTGGTTTTTAATTTAACTTCATTGCAAGTGACTGCAGGACTTCCAGCTTTATTGATGTTGCTCATTCTCCTCCCCTTCTCTCAGAGAGTTGTGAGAAGAGTTCCTTTAGTAGCTGGCAGAACCAAACACCCACTTCTAAAGAAGCAACAGCAGCTCTTAAACTTCAAGCCATCTGGAGAGGGGCTTATGTTAGGAAGCTACTGAACAGCAGAAAACCAGGTGTGTCCTTTAAAAATGCCTTTTTAAAATGTTACATTCTTCACCTTATTTAAATATTCACTGTAAGGATTTTGTTACTAATTAGTGTCTAGTAAAAATGAACTGAAATGCAGTAGAACATTATAGTTGAATCTCTGATCTCTTATAAAACTAAGAATAATGCTCAACCTAACCGCTCAATTAGCATATATGATACTTAAAAATATAGGAAATACACACTCCCTAGATCTTCATGGATTTTAAAACAGAATCTACATTAATTTAGATTTAACTTAGAGCAGGGTGAATATTATTTTTTTTTCAGAACAGGTAAGTGAAGTCCATACAAGAACCTAAGCATTATAATGGATAATCAGCAGTATGTGCTCAAAAGATACAGTGATGATACTAGCTTTTATTTTTATGTATATAAATAGAGGAATCTTACATAGCGGTTGGAGTATGTGTTACATTTCTTATTCAGCAATTCTATTATCTTATCTGGAATATTGTGTCCGAGTGCAGTGTCCACAGTCCAAGAAGAAGGAAGGTAACAACTGAGAAATTCTGGGTAGAATTGTAAGGATCAGAGTTAAAGAAGTGTCTTGTACTTGCAGGCTGTTATTTTTTAATTTAAGAAAGAGATTAAGAATGACTTCACTATAATCTGTAAGTACACGTATGAGAAAAGGAATTTGGTAACAACAAGGTCTGTAGTCAGAGATTCAAAAATTGTGAGTTGAATCCAGACACATTCAAACTTGAAAAAGTGGTGTTTATTTTTAAAAGCATAAGGTATTTATTGGAATAAACCAAGATTTGTGTTGTACTACTGAAAAATTTTGAAGTCAAATAGATACTCATCAAATTAAAAAAAGATTAGTCATTTATATATGATGAAATAGCAATTGATATGTTAACAGGACTGTTACACGGAAAGTTAGATCACAGTGATTCCTTCTAGCATCACACTGTATGAATGTCTGAGGATCATGACACTGTGAGATATCCATTCCCCCTTTAGAAAGCCATCCCCATTCTGCTGGAACCTCCTTCCTGAATTTCCGTAATTGCTGGGATTCTGTTGTCTATATATTTACCTGCACTGGATGATTTCTTCAAGCTCTCCTTTTTGTACCTTCATCTCTTTATCAGTACATCTGGTGCTCCCTCTCTTTCCCAAACTGTCCTCTGTAGCCCAGTCTTGCTTAAGGTTTCCTACCAAGTAGTCTAGTGCTCTTCTAGTTTTGTTTATGAGTTACCACGTAGTTTAGGAATTTCTGTAAACTTTCACTAGTATTATTAATTTCTACAAATCCCAGTGTCCAGAAGCTGTTCTTTTGAAGTGTAAATTTTAGATTTTTGCCATTTTAGCACTATGCAAATATCTCAACTCTCTTCTTCCATTGTCTATTTTCTTAACAGTGTATTTCTTAACTTCTGATTTATCAATACTCTCTTATCTTTAATTCTGGTATTTTCTGTACAGTGCTGTACTGTAGCAGGATTAGTTTTACTTTTTTTTCCAGGCATACTGTTCTTCTCTTCCTTTGCCTTGTTTGTATCTTTTCTCTTTTACTTGTCATTACAGTAAGGTGTTATTACTCCCCTCTTTTTTTTTTTTCTTTTTTCTTTTTTAAATTTTCCCCCTCCATTTGTGTCACTAATTGTTTATGCAGTTAGGATTTCACCTAACTTTAATTTTGAAAAATTAGCCAACAGGTCTAAACTAGTTGCCTAGTCTTCATCTGTATTCTGTGGATACAGGTAGACATCCTTAGATGGTAACGCATCCTGTCATCTGAGAGGTATCAAACATGGGTGGAATGAATTACCCGCTGGTGCTGCCCAATTCTTTTCTGTTTTCGCTACACAGATTGCCTAGGCACATACCTACCCCTTCATAGTCTGTAAATAAAAACTGCTGAGACCTAAACAGTGTATTCTCTGAGGACAGAGATCATATCTCTATGACAAGTTACAGTGGAAAAAATGCAAATCAGAGAAAATTTGATTACACCATTTTTGCTGTTGTAGGAGTGCTGAAATGTACAAAGGTGATGAGGAAGGAATTTCATCTGTCAAAGAGAAATTAGTTTTCAGCTCAGGGAGACTTCTGTAAATTCCAAATAAAAACTAGTGATTCATAAGACAATTTACTTGTGTGAGTGGTATTTTTCACAAGTATTTGGCAGGTATATATTTAGAACAATACAATTTTATATGTTACACTTTCTAACTTATTTTATTATTTCCAGGTACTAAAGAAAATGCTAATGTCAAAGAAACCTTGCAAAAATTGTGGACAGCAATTGAGTTAAATTTTGAACAGTGTGCTGTAATGCTGTTAAGGTAATCATGTAATAAATTAAACTTTTATTGTAGCCTGTACCATATAATTGTCATAAATTGCCAATTCACAGAATAAATATGGTAAGATCATTACTAGTTTTAAAATTACAAAATTATCTTGGAAAGGATGAGATGTTTTTAGTGAAGATATACTATACTTTATTCTGTGTACCCTACGTGAGTAAAACTGTAGCAAATTAATTTTTAGGTATTTGTGTTACAGGTTTTTTCCTACAGCTTGAGCTAGAAGATGACTTTTCTTCTGCATTTAATTTTTTAATATCTGTAGGCTGTTTCATAAGTATAAATCTGATACTGATTCCTTAGTTAAACAGCTGACAAGTTGATTTAAAGAAGCACTTTGATTAACACTATCTGTTAAGGAATCCTGGTTGACATTAGTAAGGAGATAGCTATACTATTTAATTGTACCACAGTTTATATATTCACTGGATCTGTTTATAGCGCTTGCTGGAAGGAAAGTGGATGCATTTCTAGGTAGATACTTTCCCTGGTATTTAATTACAGCTTTTGAAAAGATAGCTACTCTAATTTCAGCAGTGTTCCTTAAGTCATTTCCAAGCATGTCACTCTTCAGGGATCACATATTTTCAGTAAGTCCTTCAAAAATCTTTCTGCAAGTGTTCATGCAACCGCCCTAGCAGTGGATGAGCTCTCTCAGGGGTGAGGAGTGAGAACTGACAATAATTACAGGCTGTGGGTACGAATCCACACTCATTATAACCAGAAATTTGAGGAACACTCCTATGGGGTATCATCTTATTTCACTTTTTAATGTTTCTAGTCCCGTAAAACCTTTGTATGTTGATGGGATTAGGACTTTACAACCACAGCCTTATTCCAAATGTTAGACCTCAGTTTTAGATTTGCAGCATCCATAGATCAGCAAAGATCGGATGCAGTTTTTAGTCTACCTTCAGACTTTTAATACTTATGGGACTGATTCTTAGCCATTGTCTCAGGGCATACATTTGAGTTTTAAAATCATGGCAATGTCTGTCTGTCTATTTATTTATTTATTTATTTTACAGCTGGCAGACTTACATTTAATATAACTAACTAGCACCTTGGCCAATAAAGTGACGTGCAAGAATTTTGAAAGTTCAGTATCAGGGTATAAGTTTTCCATTCTCTAGCCCCTGGAGCCCAGAAGCAGTACCATTTTACAACACAAACAGCAGTTTAAAATGTCCTAGAACCTCTCCGTTTGTGCTAGGGTTGCCACCCATTTCACATTATGCACCCCACGTAAACTCATCTATGTGTGTCTCTACAATAATTTTCAATGAATTTAAAATGTGAGGTTTCTGAGGGGCTTTTCCTGTCTATGTGTGTGCTGATTATCAGTGGTGGAACGAACCTTTGCAAATCTTCATGGACTAAGATTTCAAACTGTTCTGCTTTAAATTGCTTCTGACAATATTTACATCCACTCTGTGACTCACCTTAATTAAATGTCAAGGTCAGCTATTATCATGGCTAAAAACATGACTGTGACTGTGGGATTGTTTCTGTAATTCCGATTACTATATAGGAATAACAGAACATCAGAGTAGCATTGTCCAGTTTCTGTGGATAAAACTTCTGCAGTTGAACTACTTGAGCACATTCCTATTTGACACAGAGAAGAAGACAAGGATCACCAAAAGTAGAAGTAGTCAGTTTTCTTTAGACTGTCCCCTTTATGTAAACCATATAAACCAAGCTTTGAATTAGATAGCAAAGATAACAAAGATAGCAAAGATAGCAGAACAGACTTATTGTTTATTGACTACAGAAAGCAAATAGTTAAAGAATAATGCAAAACAGAGCAATGGTGGTGAGAAGGATATCCTTTCCATCACCTCTATGTAGGCATATTTTCATTCATAATCTCTAGAGAAAATCACTATAAGGAGCCAGAAGATGGAATGAGTCCTGTTATCTTTTTTCTGCCCTTCACCCAACAACCAGTTCACATAACAGTGAATTTTGTATGCTGGTCTTCACATTGCTTTGCCCAAAAGAACATTAATTTTTGATACTGCATATGATAAATAAAAATTCATGCTGTCGGTCAGGGGCCAGTGAGTTTATCTCTAATTTTACAGAATTTCATAGCACCTGTGGGTTTATTTGCCTTACTAATAACTTCTGAATTTAGTGTCTGAGGTTTCTTCCTATGTGAAGGGAATGTCTTTCATCCCATTTGAAATTTATTTGGTTTTCCTTTTATTCCTTTCTTAAAAGGAAATAAAAGGGGTTTTAATCTGACAATTGCACAGATTTCAGATGAGAGCTTAATATAAAAAAATGGAAGTTATGCTACCTGATATTTATTGAAAAAAAGTTGTTTTGCAGAAGCTGTAGCATTTGAGGCTATTAGAAGCAGTTGTACTTATGGATAGACTGAGGGACAGAAATATTTGTAAGTAAGCATTGGCTGTTATGGGCCATCATCTCTAAAAGAGCTGATCCCTACCTGATCTATTCATTTTTGAGTGATCAGCTACTAGATAAACATTAATAACAGATTTTATATCACTGTTATAGTTATGCACGAAGCAGTGTTCATCATTAGCATAAAGTTAAGATCTATGTGCCCTGATTGGATTTGAATATTTATCGTGTTTTCTGCTTTCTAGAGAAATGTTTAAAAGAAACTGTAAGTCAGTTGAAAGGTTTCCTTGTTATGAAGATGAACGGTGTAAGACCTCTTTTGCTGACTATGCTGTAACCTATGCTGATCAGCCACCAAATGTGTGGTTTGTAGTTTTCAGGTGAGTATCATACAGCCCTACATAACTCCTATGGGGAAGTGGTATTGATACACAGTATTTTTTCATTAACCTGCTTTAAAAATGTAATTTTACATAAGTCTGCTTTTCTGAAATTCTAATGTATTTAGAATTTTACTTTGTGTTACACAAAGAATTTTATTTGGGTAAATAATTGTAACATAATTTGAATTCTCCTTTTTTTAGAGAAATATTTCTTGTTCCAGAAGACAATCTTTTAGTGCCAAAGGTGTATACTACTATCCCTTCCTGTAGACTTCATGTCGTGAATAATGACACACTGGAGGAAATGCCACATGTGTTTTTGGAAGTGGCACCTCGTGTTTATCCCCGAAATAAGGTAAATTCAAAGATTCATTGTGAAAAGTATGATTTTTAAAATAATAGTTGCCAAAATTCTGTGGATATCTTCAGCTATGTTATAATGTTCTACTTAGAAGTGCACCTTTATTTATTACCAAGTTTGAACAAAGACTATCAGTGATCAGCTTCTGTGATAAACCTTTTACAGTGAAAGAATAGCCTTAATTTCCTTTGATATTTTTTACTTTTGCTAAATGGAGGAATATTATCCAATTTCCCTGTGCTGTGCTACTTAGTGGCAATATGGTTGCTGCTGATGCTGTCCATCTGACAGAACAACCTTCAAGAGTCAGCGACCAAACTAAGAATGAGGTTTGAATAGCCTTTTATAAGTCATGCTTACAATAATTAAGTTAATGTGCATCTTCAGGTGCTAATGATGGCAGCATTGATGCCAAATACAGCTTTAGATATGGTCCCTCTCAAAGCCTGTGTGTTATCTCAGAAGCATTAGTGTAAATTGCTTCTAAAAAAATAACTATACTGTTAAATAGTTATCACAGCTTCCCCTCCTCCTGCCTTTTTATACTAAAGAAGACAATTTTCTCAGTGTTTCCTTGCAAATTACATGTTCTACACTCTTGATTACCCTCTCCTTTGGAGTTTCCAATTGCTGCTGTTCTTGTTTATCATGCACAACACTGAGCACAGTAAACCGCACCAAGGATTAACTTGTGGCTGTACAAATGATGAGTAAGGATTGATTAGTTTACAGGTTTTGTGGGCTTTACTTCTTCTTATCTAACCGTGATGCTTGATGTATTTTGCATCACCACTGTTGACTTGTACTTCTGTAACCCTGGGTGCTTTGCTAAAGAACTGAATCCTGTAGTTTATCATTCTTGACTAAATATAGTCTATTTCACTACTGATTTTAATGCTATTTTTTCAGACCATGTTCAAGTTTAAAATAATCTTGAATTCTTATTTTCTCTTCCTCTAAAGTTACCATCCTTCTTAGCTTGTGAAATCAGCTAATTAAACATATATGTTCTCCATTTCACCATTCTCATTACTAATAAAAATATTGAATGGAATCATGTTCAGGTGTGATCTTTGAAATCTCACTGATTGCATTCTGCTCTTCCAAAAGGAGCCATGAATATGGGCTTTCTGGATGTGGTTGTCCAGCAGCCACCCTAGTTTCTTCATTATGACAGCGTTTCCTTAGGCTTAGAAGAATGATCAGAGAGACAGTGTCAGGTATCTGCTTCATTGCCATAGTTTGCTTTCCTATAAAAGGAAGATGAACGGGTTTGATAGGAATTGGTCTATGCAGTCTCTTTGTTATGTTGAGGGGGTTGCAAGGAATTAAGATTTTTAGTTATTTTGTGAGGGGTTTAGCCATTTGAGTTATGCTGACTGATAATTTTCTAGACACCTTTGTCCATCTAAAAAAAAATATATAATTTCTTTAGACTACCAGTACCTTATGTGTCCTCCATCAGTTATCAAACATGATTTTAAAGTTTTGTGATTGTTTTAACCTGTTATGTAATTATCCTTCAGACAGTTCAGAAATTCATCAGACCTAGCTAATCCAAAATTTTATCTATATAATAATTTACTACTTTTTCCGTGCTGGCCTGCCTCTTACCTCTTTAATATTAGCTCTAATATTAATGGTTCTAGCCACATGTTCACAATTGACCTTTTAGTGGAGACAGGTTCACATTTTAGCCTTCTCAGTCTCATCTGTCAGTAGCAAGGAATTGATGTCAGTTACAGTCTAATGCTGCAGGAGTAGTTTTCTTGTCTTTGTTTTGTCATTTCCAATTTTATCAGACTTTTTTTTTTTTCACTACAATGAACTTGCCTTATTTAGTGTTTATAGTGATTATTAGCTGAATGTGATAGATAAGGACTGCTACTGTTGGAGGAATATGCTTTAAAAAGAAGGGTTGCAGACAAGTTCTTCAAGCTCTCAAAACTAATTTGAGAACCTTGGAGATGGAGTGTGGATTCCACCAGTCAGGAAAAATCTGTTTGGAATCCAACAGTGGCAAGTGGCAGGATGCACAAAGAAATCTCAATGGTGAACACTACTTACTGCCTTTCAGAAAAGTGATGAGTTGTAAAAAGAACGATCACAACTTCAGATTTATTTCAGATCACACCTCAGCATTTGTCCTGCTTAGCAGGTTATGTCTAGATCTGCCTTGTAAGGCAGGTTTTCCATTTCCTTGATTTTACTAGCTCTTTCTCAGACCTCCTCTCATTGAACATATTTTCTTGAATAAAGATGTCCAAAATTGTACACAATATTCCAGATAAGATCTTACCAACACTTTGTGCAGTACAGTGGTTTTAATATCGGAAATGCTTGACTTGCTATGTGCTACCCCACCTGGTATGTTCCATAATAATTTTTATTTTCATGGGTACAGCATGATAGCCTTAGTGATTCTGACATTAACTAATGAAAATGGCTCTTTTGATTTTATTCCTGTCCTTGCTTGTTGAAAAAGTCCCCACATAAAGCAGACCTGTTTGTTATTATTCTCTAAACACGACTTTCATTTTAAATTAGTAAATGTGGTTAATATCAGTAAAGAGGGATTTTGGTTTCAGAGTATTAAAACAGAATTGTGCAGGTATGCTGTATTTTTCTACTTGCTCTTATAACATTTCTTAACCACTTCCACTGAGTTTTTCAGTAAGAATATAACCTTATACTGTAAAATTTAGCTTGATTTTTTTTCCTGTTTGTAAATGGTTTATTGATGTTTCATGGACCTGCAGAAGCTATTGAAAACTCTCTTGATGTTTTGACAAGACACTGTGCAATTGATAGGAAACAGAGAATACACTGATATTATTTTAATCTCTTACCTTTCCTTTTAACAGCATTTTGTAAAATATAGTCAACAATATAATGCATCAAGCAAGAAAATATAAAGTATACCTGAATTCCCAAATTGCAATATTAATACAGAAAAAGTTTGTCCTTTTTTTTTTTAATAAACCTACCAGTTAGTTGTTCTGCTTCAAAATTATGAATCAGCAATTTACAACAAAGCTAAAAAGAAATCCTATCAACAGATATTGCTATTCTGCTGCAGAGACAGTCCTAGAACACATTATTGTTCATTTCAGAATGATTGACAGCAAGGAAAAAATTTGCACACTAGCAATAATATCTGTCTTCTTTCTGCAGACATTGCAATCTAGATAGAAACTAGCTACTTGCTTTGCATTATTTGGATTTTCTTTTTTTGCATTCAGTTTTCTTCCTCCACAGTATGGTGGGTTTTGGTGTTTGGTGTTTTTTTTTGGTTTTTTTTTTTTTTTTTTTTACTGCTGGATGCACTTGATTTTGTTTTTATTTTAATTCTACTCTGTTATTCACAAGTCTCTTGAACAGATTGTGGAAAATTATAGAGATAAGCATTTCTCGAGTTTATGAGCAAGGCCACTGAGCAGTTATTTTCTTGCCTAGTCAGAGAAGGACATAAGAAAATTATGTTTACCAAATAGTAAGTTTAGGTGGTATATTAGAAAACAACTCTTTCTGATTCTAGAGATAGAGAATCATAACAAGATATCTAAGTAGCTAGTGAAACCTCTCAAAGGTTTTTAAGAAAGAGAAATAAATATGATGGGATTGTCTAGATCTGTTTATTTCCCAGCAGTGACTGATGGTTATGCTGCGTTCCTACCAGCCACAATATTCAGTTATTGTGCTTTCTAATTGCTGTTAGTATTCATAAAGTGCCCACTCACGCAATTTTTTAATCTGAAGTCTAAATTTTCTGCATATTTATAGTGAACATTAAGACTGTATAAGCTTATCTTTTTAAGTAGGTATACAACAGAAAGTGTTTTTCTCATGTGCACCATGCTGCCAGAAAGCACTTGAATCTGGCTGAATCCTTCTCAGTTTCCAAGTGTATTTATTAAGAGCAGGGGGCACTTCAACTATATGCTGAAACAGATGTTTAAATAAGTGAGTTCTCCTGAATCATAGCTTTGAATGGTTGCTATTACCTTGTGATTTAAGTCTGTAAAATGCTTTGCCGTTACAATTGCACAAATTGGAATCATGAATAATTTATTTTACTTTCATTCTAAATATTCAGTAGTTAGGAAGTTACAACCCTGCATTATTGGATAGTCCTGAAATCCTAACCCTATTTATTACCAGAACTTTTCAACAAAACTCTCTCTTTTTTCTTAATTAAATACTGGTAAATACTTATTTTTTTAAAGTGAAATTTAGCAGAAGAGTGCAAAAAGAGAATCTTTCAAAGAATTTTCATCTGGACAATTTCTTGAGTGGTACATGAAATTTTAGTGCTTGAAATAGCAAGTTGGTAGGGCAAGTTCTGAGAATCTGAAGAAGGGACTTAATCCTGAGTTCCCCTGTTACACTGCAATTGAACATTGCACTCATCATATCCCTTTTTCCTGCCTCTGCCTTTCAAGTAATTACCTTTGTATTGCCTCCTTTTTTTCAAACACAGATTAAAATCAAATTCTGACACCTTTTATATTATATTCTGGTTTCCCATATTCCTCCTCTGAGGATTCATAAAAAGAAGATAAATCTGCACCAGTCTTATTAATTGCCTACTATTAATATTTTATTTGATTTTTTTTTAAATACTAGAAATATTTTTTCTTAAAACAACATCTTCCTAAAAGTAAGATTCATATGCTGACATTTAATGCTATACTTGCCATGACATTATTAAAACTGGGGGCAATGTTAGTTTAACCTCCAGTCTGCAGACAGAATGAATCTGATCTTTAAATTTCCATGCAGCAAGTTGCATTCATCCATAGTCTCATACTGCCTTCAGCAAGAAGGGACATTTTGTAATCTCTGGTTTATCAGTTAATGCAGTTATTTTAATGTTTATGCTATCTAATTTTGCTTTTATATCTGTGAGGACAGCTAGCTTTTGCTAAATGTCGTGTGTGAATTGCCAATGGTGTGTGGTCACCTTTGCAGCTGAAAGTATCTGTAATCTCAAATCTCAGTTATTGCGCAGTTTTCAAATACATCAGTGTTTCACAATACCCAACTTTCTTACATCTGGCATAGAGGCCAGATGTAAAGTTCTTCGCTTGTGCAGTCTTTTAACTCTTTCTTCATTATATCTACTACTACTGTCTCCACCACCACCACCACCACGTATACTTTTGGTCAGAGGGAAAAAATATTTTGTACCAAATGAAGAGACTTTGACTGATACTACTGCTAATGCTTTTACAAGAAAAGTAATGGTAATATTACAGAACCCAGACATGTATAGATGTGTTTTATCTGGGAGGTACTTGCATGGTAGTATGATGCACAAAGCAAGATAATATGTTGAATAAGTAGGTTGTACTAAATTTTAGTCATACTGTAAGAAGACTTTTCAGAATAGAGTACTGCACATGCTGAAATAATTAAGGATTCAATTAATACTTTTTAAATTAGACTTTATTAAACAACTTAGAATCAGCGAATAATTTGGTTAGAAAGTGACCTCAAGAGTTTGATTGTTCCTGCTCTTAAAACTAAGGCCAACTTTGAAGTTAAATGAGATTGGATTTGACTTGCTATGTAACTTTTTGCCAAATATAAATTCCTGTAATATGAGCTGCTTCATAAATTAGACTATAATAGAATTATGTAGTTCTATAGTGATAAGACTTATGTAGTCCTTCTTGCTTGTGAAGGACACCTTACTTCATTAATAAGTGTAACATGGACAGAAAGTGTGTTGCATGTAGTCATAGCGTGGATTTTGAGTAGTTATTTCCAAGTAAAAATTACATGTTTTCTCCTTTCAGAACGGATACACATTTATGGCTGAAGCATTTACTGGTGACCTACCTCTGGCAGCTGGAAAATGGAAGCTCCGGCTCATCGGTTCTCATAGTCCACTCCCATTTCTCTCTCGTGAGGCTGTAAATAATGTGTATTCTACTAAAGAAATTAAAGAGTATTACATACCAAATGACAAGCATGTAATATTCAGGTAAATCTCGAGATAAGAGTAATTAAATTCTGCTTTTTATATGGAACATCCCTGACAGAAAAGTATGGTATTTCCTCTTTCTTAGAAGGGGAAGTTATATGTAGCTATGTATAGATACAGATGAATGTTATGGGCCGTCAGTGTGCAATACCAAATTTAACATTTCATTTATGAAAATGTTATTTTCTGAAATATTGATTGCCACTGCTTAATGAAGAATAGGTAGGAAGTACACAGACTATAACTTTTAAATTGTAGTAACAGTATTTTGTATTTCTGTAGGCTCGATCTTGAAATCTTATCTCTATGTCAATTACTGATTATAATTAATATTTTGGGGGATTAAATATGTATTAAAATAAAGATTTTTCCGGGTGGGGTGGAGATGTAAATATTGATACATTTTTTTCCAACTATTTAGAAAATTCTTTAAATAAAATCCAAAGTACAACACTTTCTTTTCTGATATCAGAACAATTTCCATCTTGCAGTGTTGGCAGAAAAAAAACCCAAACAACAACTAAAGCTTTTATTTTAGCATGCTGATTCTTTTAGGAGAACATACTTAGTAAAAATGCGATGATTTCATTTTTATTAATCTTTTTAAAATTTAGTAAAGTTTATTAAAATCAGTATTAGATTTGAGTTTCAGTGTAGAACTGAACCTGACTAAACCACTATGCTTAAGTTTTTACACAACAGACTACACACTGCACTAAAACAGGTCCCATGCTTAGAGCTGATTACATGCATATATTTTAAAGGTTAATCCTGGAACATTTGTCCCTGATTCCTGATACTTTGTATCAATATTTCAAATCAATGGATTATTTCTGGGACAGAGGTCTATTCAACAAGAGGAATCAGGTTCAATATAAATGAAGAAAGCATCTAAGTTAAATACAAGAAGTGTGCTCAAGTTCTGTAAACTCTCTCTCAATGAATTTGGGTTTAATTTTTCTCTTTTTTTTTCCCCTCTGATGTTACCAATCTTTTAAATGTCTGAATTTATGGACAATATGCAAATAATATGTAAATTTATGAGACACAAAAAAAATATTTAGATTTCATTCTAAAACTCTTAATTCCATAATCTTTGCATTCCACAGTCTTTTAAGTTCACCAGAGTAGCAGCTACTAGCAAATGAGAAAACTTTTGAAAGGAATGTTTTTTTTATTTTTCATTTGCTCAGTGCTATTTGAATTGAAACAGTTCCCTCATATGGCTAACCATGTTTTTCAACAAATACCAGTACACCAGGAGGGAAAATGTAAATCTGGATATTTGATAAGGCAGTGAAAAAAAGAAATAGCAAGACCACCCCTTTCTTTGCAGCAGCACTTACTTTGACCATAGATTCACCAAACTTTTCTACAAGAAGCTTAGCCCATAAGATTGGAGGAAAAATGTTGACTACAAACACAATTTTAAGTTCTTGCTTCCAGGTCACCACAACACTTAGGTACTTACCTAAAAAAGAATGATCTGGCATAGTGATTTATATTGCTATAATTTTTTTCTTCCCCTTTAGGTATTCAGTAAAAGTCACAGCGTCACATATTGCTACAGTGCAGGTACAGACCTCTAAATCAGATGTGTTCATTAAACTACAAGTCCTCAATAATGAGGAAGAAGTTGTGAGTGCCACTGGAAAGGGCCATGCAGTCATCCCTGCTTTTCATTTCTTGAGTAATGAAACACTTTTGAGTTCACACTGTAAGTATTCTATTCTGTATTTGATAATTTTTTTCACCAAGGGATATACATTCTTACAGTAGCTTTAGGTAATCACAGAAAATATTCTGTTGTTACTGTTTCCATGAATCCGTAATTGCTTTGTGATGGAGTGAAATCATTATGAACACGAATCCTTGGTCCTCATCAATGAGAAAAGGTACCAAAAGGATTGATTGAAATAAGGCATCCAGCCATATTTTCTTCCTCTGCCTTTTGGCCGTGTTTTGCAACTGAATAAAGATTTTTGCAGATAACTGAAGTAGCTTCTGAGTTCTGAAAATTGTATGTATATGCTTCTTTTGTCCTTGAGAATTGAAATATGGTTTACTTTCATGATCTTGCCTTGATTTGATTGATCCTAAATTTCAGAAAATTTTGGCTGTTAGGGAACTGATGCTCAGACCATGGGACATTTAAATAGTTTTTGATAGCAACTCAAATACTGAGAAAAATTATCCCTTATGGGAATATGTGAATTTAAACAAAACTTCTTCTGAGAAAAATTTCTTTGAAAGTTAGAGGAAATACCTCACTTATTTGCAGCTGAACAGTTGAAACTGAGAAGGGAATCAGTCTAATTTTTTTTTTTTTTTTAATTATGGCTATTCATTACATTGCAGTCCTGACAGCTCAGCTCTTGTTAAAGGTGAGAACCAGTGTGTGTTCAAAGGTCACCTTTCATAAGTATGCTAAAATTCATGTATTATCTCAAACTGCTTTGAAACTAGTGATTGTACCTAAAAAAATCAAGCCGGCATCAGTTCAAACTGTCTCTCTATAGTTCAGCAAACTACCACTCTGAATCTACTGTATGCCCAAGCCTGGCAGCACAGAAATACTGGGGGAAGGGGCAGGGAGGTAAAGAAAACGAAGCCAAACTCTCTTCAGTGACACCCAGTGACAAGGCAAGAGGCAATGGGCACAAACTGAAATACAGGAAATTCAATCTAAGAATTAGAAAAGGTGATTTGGAGGAGGGGTTTGTTTGTTTTTTGGTTTGTTTCATTTTTACTCTCACACTGTCAAACATTGGAACAGGTTGCCTAGAGAGGTTTTGGAGTTTTTATCCTTGTAGATAATCAAAACCCGACTGGACATGGCCATAAGCAGCCTGCCCTAGCTGACCCTGCTTTTAGCAATGCGGTTGAACTAAATGATCTCCAGAGGTGTCTCCAGCCTCTGCCACGACCACTCAGCCTCCATATCAGTTAGTAGTTAGGGCCTTATGGGTTTGTTTGGTTTAGGGTTTTTTTTCTGTATGATCCACAGCTCTGGATGAGCTGTCCAACTAAACAGGTATTAATTTACAACTGGACTTAACAGAGAGAGCCTTCAGCCTGAGAACGTAGCAGTGCTCTGCCATCACCCCTTCTGATGTAGAGTTCGGTTACCCGGACATCCGTGTTCCTGCTTCAATTCCAGCCTTTCAGTAGAGTTCTGCCAAAATCGTACACATGAGCTGCAGTCAGACAGCATCAGCTATTTGTTACTGGTGGTTTTATTGTTTGGTAAAATTGGGGCTGGGCTACTAATGAAGCTAGGCCAAAAGTGGAATGAAAATTTTGTCACCTGAAAGTACACTCAGCCAGCTGATTGATGTTTGATTTTGCAGTGGTGTTTACTCTTCAGAAGCAATAAATACAGCTTATTGAGGTACATAATTCTTAGGCATATTTTCGACAATTATCCCTGTAGTGCTCAGATCAATTTTAGCAAAAAAGAAGTACCTTCTACCTGCTTCCACAACACTTCTTTCATGTAATGGATTTTAGATACTGCTGTCATGCCATCTTAACTTCTTTTATAATCTTCGTTTGTTTCCCTTTACTTCTTAAGCAAGCTATTTCCATTTTATTTATAAGACCTTATTTTGAATTTTTCATTATATCTGTGGGTTTCATTTTGAAAATGTATATTCTTCATAAGCATTACAAGTTTGCTTAATTAAAGCAGCTGGTTTTAAGCAAACAAGTCAGCTACTATACTGTCCATGGACACCACTACACATCAGTGTTGTAAGATACCAAAGTCTTCAGCCCTTTTATGAAGACTTTAAAACAATCAATCTTCTGTAAATCAATCAGTTTCTGCCTGTTTGAGCATATTCAGAACCTGAGGCAAAGACAGATTGTTTAAATACTGGATTATTGTTTTGCTAAAGCCCAAAATAGCACCATATTTCATGTGCTCACCTCCACTACTTTGAACTGTGTAGTTTCCTAACATGATCTTCTAGAAAAATGTTTTATCTAAATTTGTAATGCTGTGTGGGGAAAGATAACTAATTGAATCATGTTTCTGAAACATTTTGAGTTCTGTCTCACCTTCACCTTGTTATTACCAGAAATGTCAAATTAAATACTATGGTGACCATGACCTTAAAGTCTAAGTCATCAGTTGACATGTTGTGGTTTTAAAGGAAGTCATGGAGAAGCTGTCATGATTTTTGATTGAGTTGCCAAGGTAATCAGTAACGGGTTTGGAATGTGGGAATGGATTAATAAACTTAAAAGTTAGTCTGGTGGAAATTGAAGCGGGAAAGCTATAAAACAGCCCAGATTAGAATATGCATCAGAAATACTTGAAATAAATTGCTGAGTTATCCTCAGTAATGTGAAGAAGACACTTTCAGGAATCCTGCTTGTTGGCAAAGATCATAGTCTGAAGACTGAAATAAGTTAAAAGGCACAATCAGCTGAAAGAAAAGAGAAACAGGTTCCAACAGAGGCTGGAAGGGAAAGGATGTGGCAGATAACCAAGAGGGACATTTTGTCTTTGCCAGAGTAGTGGTGGACGTATGTGAGAAGAACGTACATAAAATATCCTCAGAAATCAGACATACACGTGAGGCTTTTATCTCATGTGCTTGCTATGATACAAGTAATTTTTGCTAATTCCAAATTATTTTAATCCATTATGAATCATTCAATGAAATATTTGCTATATTACCCTGATTGAAAATAGGAAGGCAGTTGTTTCAGGTTGTTATTCAGTTAGTGGAGCCAGGGCATTCTAACTGGAAAAGGGGTGATGAAAGGTACTTGATTTCAAAGGGAATTCAAAAGAGTTTTTACATCTGTCAAACTGACTGTAAAAAAAGTGAATGCATTTGAAAGTGAAATGAATATTCTGGTGCCATTTAAGTGTGTCTGAGCGTATAGAGGGCTGTCACTTGGAAGGAATAACTGTGAAGCTGTCCTGTTGGTCTTCACTGTTACCATTATTTTTACAATCTACATCCAAGTGGCCTTAACCTTCAAGTTCTTTTCCTAGCTATATGCAGCCTCTAGATCACAAAGAAGAAATTTTGTGTGTTCTACATCTTTCAGAGCATGCGAACCGAATGAAAAGATTCTGACATGTACCCAGTATAACCTATATGACAGTATCCTATTACCCAACTTGCTGAGTGTCTGCATGTGCAATTTATGGCATTGTAAATGCATGTTTCTTTGCTTTTGTGAAAAATGTTAGGAAATTATGACCTGTACAGTAACAATATAGCAACCTCCATAAATATTGATGCCAAGTCCAGGTGGGGCTTTTTACAATTGACATTCAACAAAAAAGTTTCGTGCTCTCAGTATCTAGTTGTTCTCTAAAAAAGTGTGTTTTCACGGAATGGGTATCGTCAGAAACCACTGCTATACCATCACCACCAAACTTGTTAGATAAGGAAGACACAATCTTCACATTTAAAACCTATTCAGTATCACGCATGTTCTGCCTCTCATAGAATTGATTGCTGTGTTGACAGTATTCTTAAGTGAAATTATTGTGCAAGCATCACAAATAAAACATTTCCTACCCACAATCTGTTAATTCATCTCTCCAGTCACAGCTCTTTTGTCAATGTCTTTTATTGCCCAAAAGCTACATTCAGTCAATTGATTTAGAATATATTTACCTCTTCTGAGATGTAGCAGATGACACAGACCTTGAACACTCACTTGCCAGTAAAGGAATTACATATTATGTTGCAAGCACAACTTGTTTGGTTGAAGCAAGCATAGCAGTCCTGTAGCACAGATGGACAAGTGAATGCTCATAATCCCTTTGTTTTCCATAGTAGCAGTCTTGTACAATCAAAATCTCATTCAGATAATTGTTTGAATCTGGAACCAAGGTAGGTATGAGTTCTGTCAAGGCAGAACTTTGTATAGGATAACCAAGATTAAGTATTTATGTATGCAGTAGAAAAGAATTTTGGTGTCGCAGCACCACCTGGTGACCATTGCTAGAACTATTATTTTTGGTTGTGTATGGATTTTTGGGAATTTTTCCAAGTCATCTTTCCAGCAAAGGCAAAATGAGTCTTATGGAGGATTCCACCATTCTGAGCTGAGTTATCTTCATGGCAGGATCATTCCCTGGGCAAACCATTATAGAATTCTTCAATACTTATGCTTTTCAGGTTTAAGGAGAGACAGAAGAGGAGGATAGTGAGGCATTCATGGAAGCTCATTATAGCCTAAAGAATACAGCCCCCCTGGAAACCTCCCTGCCTTGATAGGTACAGATAGGCTCCTTCAGAGGGCAGTGCACAGCTCCTAAACCCCAGAAATCAGACCTCCTGTATAGAACCTCACCTCTCTGTTGACTTCAAGGAGGAGCACATTTAGTTGGCCTCACCGCTTTAAAACTACCTATTTATAAATTGTTTGCACTGCTCCCTGATAACAGCGTTCAGGCAGGCATTGAAGATCATTCCTGACTAGAAACTTTCACGCAAATGTTGCAGTTAGTACCCTAAGGGCAAGTTACCCAATTGGAAATTACCTGTATGTGGAGTTATTCTTCCATTTGGAATCCAAATTGTTTCTTTTCAGCAGGTTTTCACACAGATGTGAAAAAACATGCAAGACTCTGGTCTCTGGGTAATGTTTTTTCTTCATCCGAACACAATTCTATTGAGCGAAAGGCTCATGATTTTGGTTCCCTCTGATGTGAGACTAGATAATCTAACTACTAAGAGTTATGTCTCCTCTCACCTTCACAGAATGGGAATCTAACTCGTACCTGGAAAGCTCAGCAGGCTCTATCTGGAAGAGAGACTGTTCCAGAGATATAGGCTTGCTTAGGCCTATCTTTTACAAAACAACATCCACAGCGTTTGTTAGAAGAAACAAGTATTATCTTCCTTCAAGTTTCTCTCACAGACCTCCTTACCACGGGGACAGCACCAGGGACAGCTCAGGTGCCAGAGTTTCTGAATATCATGTAGAAGAGTGACTCATCGCCTGTGATTATGAGTTTGAGACATCTTGCAGAAAGCATCTCTGCGAGGTCTTGTTCTCATTTCCTGACTTCACCTGATTTTCTTGGGACAAAGGAAGCACTGCTTTATGCAGAAGGAAGATGCAAGAGCAAGTGTTCTGTGGCATTTTTCTTCCATAAGAAACACTATTTCCTGGCTCCCTTTAAGTTTCTAGTGGCACAAACAACCTTTTATTTGACATCTATACACTGACACACCATCTGTAGAATTTGCTGAATCTGGTCTAATAGTCCTGTCAACTCCTGTGAACTTCCCTAGGTGTTTTGTCAATACACATGAAACTCCATGCACTTTTGAAGTGTTGTGATGATACAGTGCCATCGCTTGCTTCTACAGTAAACCTTGGGAAGCATAAAGTCTTCTGTTCTCCGTGAAGCCAAAAAGATATCTCTTTCCCAATTGATGGTCCAGCTTTTGTTAGTGCAATGCAGGTGAAGCTGCTTCCCCAGCAGCGTTAGTTTTGCCCTTGTTCAATTTCAGTGAGATACTCCCTCTTAGAATTCTTACTCCTTTCTCTGTAGAGATTCAGGCAAGCTAGTATCATAGATACCAGTGGCATTGGAAATGAGCACAAGTTTATTTTCTGGTTTAATATTTCTGTTACAGCCCCTTTTCAGCATGTTCCTGGTTTCACAATTTTTCTGCATTATTTGTTTCCTTAGGGGACAATGATACAATTTTATAAATTATAGGCCACAAATAGTTTTATGGTTCTCTTCAAGATGGGCTTCATTTTAAACTTCATCTATTATCTTTGTGTCAAGTTAAAATAAGAGACTTCTGTAAGGGTAGCAGCTGCCAGAACTGTGGCCACTGCACCTCTCCCCTTCTTAAATAGGTGCACACAGTTTACTAAATTAGGTTAGCTACACAAAGATCTCATCATACAGAGCACAAGGCTGTCTGTATTATGTAATACATAGCATTATACAGTAATATACAGCAATATAGGTGCTGTGGTGGTTAGTGCAGGAACAAAGTGTTGGGTATGGGGGGAAAAAAGATATGCTTTATAAACAGTAAAAAGTGTCTTTCAAATTTCTCATTATTTACTTTGAAGAGCTTTGTGATTTTCATGCAGAATGAAATCCGGATAGTATTTGGAATAAACATAATTGTAATTGGAACCTTGTCAGCATAATAGAGCATGAGAAAATTGACAATGGTAATTGATAGAATTTCTGGAAATCAACACTGACATTTTTTATCATCTTGCAGCAAGCAAAACACCTATTATTCAAAATAGTACAAAGAAGGAAACAGAAACTGGAGGATCCAAAAAAAAGGGTCATATTTCATCTTCAAAGGACAGCAAAACTTCTTTCAAGCCAGGACTTGTACGAGAAGGTCTGCCTATATCAGAAGATAAAACTTTCCTCTTGGAAAACTTTCAAAATAATGATGGAAGTCCACAACGAGTAAGAGATTCTATACCACTGGGATTTGGGGGAGGAAAAAAAAAAAAAGCCAAACCAAAACCAACAATGAAGGGGTATTGATAATTCTTTTGCTACATGTGAAGATCTGACATCCTGAGGCAAGAGCAAGGAATCAAAAATTAAGATTGTTGGTAGCTTCTGAATGAGGCTATGGAGAAAGGATTATGTGCATATATATGAATAACCAAATGGCAAGGGATCATTTTGGCTTTCAAATCAAGGTGATATACTCAATCTTTAAATGTTGTTCATTTGCCAAGTCCAATTCAAGTACAGTCTAACTTTCAGCTAAGGGCTGTAAACTACCAGTAATGAAGTTAAACTTCTGATGCTTCAGTGTGAGTTTTCATTGAAATATGATGTAAGAGAAGGCCACCTTTAATACGTTTAATAGAGAAAATACCCATTGCCAGTTGGCTGAAAGCTTTAGTAACACACACACAATAGCTGCTACTTCAGCTGAGTTTCTCAGTGAGGGATGTCAAAAAAAGTGGATTTTTCTTAATTTCACCTAGTATTACTTGTCTTAGAAAAATAACAATTATTTTCTAAAACAGTTCTTGTTCCTCTATCTCCAAGTGTTTGTCAACTGTGATTTTTCCTGATAATTGAGTTCAAGTGCAACAAAATATTCCAAGAAAAAAGGAATTATTGAGAAATAAATTCCAGCATTCTTCCTTTGACTCAGATCTGGCTTTGGAATTTTGAAAAAAAAAATTTAAAGAGAATAATTTCCTGTTAAGTGTAGACAATGTTTAAAATAACCCTTGGGCCCTTTCACCCCTACCTCAGATGAAGACATTATTGAGTGCTAGTATTAGGACTTAAAGCTCCATACTAGGTCTTAAAAACAAAGACAAAAGTCTCTGTATTAGAACATGGCACACACAGGACATCTTGAAAGAAGGTAGCTCTTTATTGTACAGCCCAGTTTAGTTTCACTTGATAAACACATGAGTAATTGTTTAATTTCACAGGAACTAAAATAAAATCTGTGGAATTAACACTGACTTTTAAAGCTTCTTGAGAATACGGCAATGTGCAAGCTTGTAAATTAATTATGTGTTTTATTTGCTGAGTTCAATAGCTGGCAGGTTACTCACCTAAAAGGCTTGAATGCTTACTATAATTTTCATGTCTTCAGCATGTTAACATATTGCATTTTCTTTCACAGTCTCACAAGTATGTCATACAAGCATTGGTGCTATACAATAGTTGGCCACTTACTGAGAGTCAGTCTCTGTTTGTTCAGGCACTGACAGAAATGGAGAAAAATGAAATCAAAGGTTGGTTTGATCTAAATGTGTATTTAGTCAAATACATTATGTTACTGATTTAAAAAAAATACTTAGATTGCTTTAAGCAAAAAGCACATGATTTTTAATTTTTTTTTATTCACTGCTTGAGTGAAGTAATTAAGCAACAAAGCGCTTTATGTGGTTCATAGAAATGAAGTTTGATTGCATGGTTCTGTACCTTCAGTTCACAAACTATAAAGCAAGCAGACAATGTTCTGCAAACCTCGCCTGAGCTTGTTAGGGGGCTCAAACTAGGTAGGGATGTGGGACCGTCGCAGAAGTATGACTCCTTCTGCTAGCAGAGAGACCAATGAAGTGTAATATAAGGGGAGTGCCTTGACAAAGTACATCTAAATACAGAAGCTTCTACTGAAACTAGAGAAAAATGCCTGCTGATAATTTGAGAATGTGCACTGACAGGAGGGGGAAAAAAGGTCCTGTTTTGGGATATGCATTACTTTCTTACTGCTGGGAGAAGAGTTTAGGCAGGAGGCAAGACAAGGAAAGGTCCCAAGCACAGGCTGTTCATTCAGGCCAGGAAGGGGACAGAGAAACTACAAAAACTTTTCTGTTTTTTTTCCTCCAGATTTTCTTAGCATTTCTTGTTAAAGGATAGAAAAAAACCCAACACATATTAAAAGCAGTTAGAATACTAGTCAGTATCTTAGAAATTACGTAGATGTTTCATATTTGCTTCTCCTTCTGCCACTGGGATGGACACAGAATGATTTAGATCTTAAGTATGTTAGAGGAGAATTTATGATGCTTGGATCCAACAGCCCAAGAGAGGTGAGGCTGCTGCCCCTCCACATCTCAGGTCCAACCAGTAGCGAGTAGTCCCAGAAGGCACACGCACACAGGGCACACGTACACACTACCTGTATACATACATACATTGCCAGCCACGCAAATCACAGACAGACACTCAGAGCACTCACGCAAACACAGCACCAATGGCCTCCTACTGCTCCCCTTTCTGGCTGGATAGAATGGAATTCCACTGGTAAGACTATATAGATATATATGTGTGTGTGTCTGTATGCGTATATATGTGGTGGATCATTCCAGCAGCTGACTCCTCGGTGCTCTTGCCCCTAGATTCCTCCAGAATATAAAATTCCACCCCAATTTCACCGCTCAGTAAATTTCCTGCAACGTTTACATGAAAATTCTGTAACTCGATTTTTAAAATATGAGATAAGGAGAAATTATTTGCATTATCCTTCCTCATATATACACACTTGCTAATAGCCTTAAATTTTCTTAGGAAGATTTTATCTTTATTTATTAGTGGTATTTCTCACTTCTTACTCTGGTTACATATTTCTTTCTAATGACTGGTCGTTTGTGGGGCTTTTGTTTTGTTTTGTTTTAATTCTGTTATCCTGCACCGAAGTTAGATTCATCAGCAGTAATTGCTGACATATTTCTTTTCTTGTATTTGAGTGCAACATTTGAGATTTCTGCAGAAATTTTTCTGGTAGTGTTACAGAACTTTACAAAGATAAATCTAGGTGGTTTACTGTAGTCTCTAGTCAGTTTTAGTAATATTTGAGGAGGTATCTCATGTAGCCTTACAGGCCTGTACAAAGGCAGCATTTTTAGTGGTTATCTTACCTGCTTTGAGCTTGTTGCATTCTTCACGAAATCTTTTCTGGCTAGATGACTCCATTTATTCTCCTCATTTTCCATTTAACAATAGACTGCTACTTTCAGCAGACATCTTATCCCATTGTCTTACCCTTCCGAGTTGGATACATAGGAGCAGCTTGCACTGAACACCCCAGTCATCTACTGGTGTGCATCCTTTCACACAGCTGTCACCATGGTCTGCAAGACTGCAGGGCAAAGGAGGTCACTGTTACTGAAGCTTGTCAATGTCATGAGCATGCTCTTGTTTAGTTTAAGGCAGTGGAATTCCAGTTCATAGCTTCCCTTTTCCATATTAACTGATGCTGTGGCTCATTTCCAGTCAACCAGTCTCAAACCACAGTCAGTGATAACGAGCACTTTTCTCTTAGGATTCTTTTTAAATGTTGTGGTTTCTGTGTCCTCTCATAATTGCTGCCTTTCAAAATTGCTGCCTTTCAAAGCAACTCAAATCCATTTCACAGTTCAGATTTCACTGGGTGTTTCTGTTTGTAGAAGGATGCCCAGGCCACCAACAGAGTTTAAAAACATTTATCGTAAAGTTTAAACACTGACATTTCCCACATTTACGACTTGGCATTTACATTATGTGCCCCTATAAACTGCAATATTTATCTGGATTGCTCACTATAGGTAAGTATTTTGGAAAACAAACAAACAAAACATTTAATCTTTGACTCTTTTTCTCATTATTAACTAGTCTTAAAGCAATTTAAAAACTGAGCTTTACAATTTAAAAATGTCAGCACCAGCTGTCAAACACACAGTTCATATAACAGCAATGTTGGTGACATCCTCTCACCATGTGATTTTTAAGAAAGCTGCAGTGAGCCAGGTGGAAAATTTCTGCAGCAAATTTCACCACTTCAGGTGTCGCTTTTTCATGTAAGACAACAGTGCCATCTGGAGTTAGTTTTATATTAAAGCTGATTTATCATGGCAAAAGCATATTTCACCTTTCTATTAGCATTTATTAAGGTCTTTTAAACTAATCTCCCTTTAAATTAAGGGAAAGACTATTATACTATTAATATTCACCATTATTATAAATATTTATAAAGAATATTATTGAATAAAATGAGTTCTTCAGCATAAGGATGCTAAGATAATTTTGTATTTTGTATTTTTTTGATCTTTGTTATTCTTTTCTTTCTTCAAAATCCTTAATACAGAAGTTTGGCAGTACTTGTAAAAAGAACTATGTTAGCCAGAGTTATTTCATGACCAATATTTAGTTATATTTATTATATATGAACTCTCATTAAATGCTTTATTAAAGAGCACATTGCAGAAGCAAAACATTAAAAAGGCATTAACCAATGAAACCCAAGTATAAAGAAATTAGAAAGTGCCAGATAGTGTGTTATGCATAGAGTCTTCATTCTGTTCTCTCTTTGTTTTGGGTTTTTTTTTTTTCCTTCCGTTGAGAAATTTTAATGGGGCAAGACTTCAGTGGAATAAAAAAAAAAGTGGATCATAATTCTTGTGCAGAAGGGGACAAATTAGCAGGCAATCCTGCAGTTGCTAATACCATTTTGAGTTGCTTGACTGTGCAAACAGAATTATTTTAAGATTCATCTTGTATATATGGTTTTCAGCTATTGCCATTTTGGATTCTTTGGTTTTACTTTTGTTGTAGTAAGATCCAAAGCTTTATTGTACAACTGTCACAACCAGAGTTGAATCATCCTTGTGTGCTGAATGCTGACTGCAGCATGTATTTTATGTATTGCCTTAAGTTGGCTGAAGAGTGTTAGCTGTTGGGGAGAGAAGGAGCTCTATCCCCTGGGAGAGCAGGGGGAGATAGGGCACCCAGCCCAGGTGGGAGAGGTAGGTTTGAAAAGGCAGATGAGAGGCAATATCCTTTGGAATATTCCTTTTTTTTTCTTCAGAGCTGGGAACGTTTCTCCCACAGGTTTTCTCTTCCTGCAGGAGAACTTGCTGGCTCATGCCAAGGTCAGGATTTCATGAGGTCTATAACATGTTGTTCAGTTCTCCCTCTTTATCTCTTTCCCAGCTTTTCTGTCGGTAGTCATTCATCACTTGCCTGGTGTTCAGTGATAAAACAGGTCACTGAGGATACAGGATGGTGCTGGAGTTTAAAGACCTGTAGAGCTCTCAGCCATGCTCTAACCCCACCCTACTATCGCAACATTGGTGGTTTGCTACTATCCTGGTGTAGTTTTACTGCAACTTTAGTGTCTGGATGAGCCCACCTTTGGAAAGATATTTCTGGTTGTTATCTGTCAAGAATGCTTTGGAGGATCCAGTCAGAGACAGGAAACACAACATCTGCACTTCTCAGTCATTTCCTAACCAAATCTGAAAGTCTCTCACAGGGCAAGTAATGGTCATTTCTTCCAACTACTGGGTAATCCCACTAAATGCTCAGAGCCTATTTCAGATGGTGGGAGCATGATATCTTCTCAAAGAAAATTTCAAGACTTCTCTATATTGTACCTATGAATAAGATGCGTTCTCTGTAATTTGAATTTCATAAAATAGGGGTCTGTCGTGCCTAAACAAGAGAATTGCCTTATCTCATCCTGAAGTTATGAGTTTCAGGTAGGAAATATTTGGTGTAATTATTTAGCTTGTCATAGACATCAGACGGGATGATCACTATGGTCCCTTCTGGCATTGCACTAAATGAAACTGAGTAAATAATTGAAAAGTGGTAGAGAAGCTAATTTTAAGAGTTCCTATCAGCTGTCTGTCATCACTGTCAGTTGGTGTGATGCCCAAGCTTTTCTCAGTGCCATACATATACAGAAACTGCCACTGACAGTTTGGGATGATTGATGCATAAGCTGTGAGCGGGAATGGCCTCTTACTTTCTGTGTCATCTCCCTGCCTTTCTTCTTACTACATCCTGTGCAAAGCATTTGCCTGGCTTTGGCCTTAGAAAAGCCCCGAGGAACTACTCACGTCTCCCTTAGAGTCAAAGTGGGCTGCATGCTGTAGTGCCAAATTGCAGCCAGTGCTCCCTCAGGAATGTCTGGAGGTTGATCCCAAAACCAGTGAGAATGCCCACTCTGCTGAGAGACGGACGAGGGCAGGGGGAGCCTGGGCAGTGCAGCGCACTGTGAGCTGAGAGCTACACTGAATCCTGCCCTAAGCCTTCGTATCTGGAGTTAAGACAGGATACCTCACTTTACCCCTCTAATTTAATAGGCTTGTTTGTTATTTACTAACTTCTCAGTGTATGCAATAAGTCCAGGGCATCAAAATGTTAAAATTCAGAGTTGTAAAATATTTATAGAAGCCAGACAAAGCTTGTGGTATCTCTTGACATCGAAAGTCTTTGTCTGGTATCATTTAGCTAATGACAATGAATGTGTCAAGTGTTTGTATAAACAATAAATAATTTATCTTTAAAAATTAATAATTCTCTGAATAATGCATGTACACCAGCCTGATTTATGGTGCTAATATGTTATGATAACGTGATATTAAATGTAAAGCCATTTATGTAATGATATTATAACTTCAATTAATGTCATCACTATTTATTTTATATTCACGTTTCCTCTGGAGTTGGTTTAGTGTCTTCAGTATTTGTGGAGACCACCTTAATTTTTGCTTTTATACATTAATCTGTGCTTTAGTAACACTGAAACAATTTAAGCTTAGCACTTTGTACATGTACAGTAATGTACATTACTTAAGTAACATGTGGACATAATAATAGAATTTATACATAAACACATGTATGATGTAATACACATATATCACATAATATATATTTGTATGTGTAGTTATAGGTGTATTATAAATATGTTCCTATATGCTTAATATTTAAAGATTTATATATCCATATAACCTCAGCCATGACATTGCAGATCTGATCCAAAGCTCATTAAAGCCAGTGGAATATCTTCAGTGGACTTTGGATCAAATCATGTAGCACAGTGATTTGTCCTCAGTGAAAAGAAATTAGAAAAGTACAGCATTAAGTGAAAGGTACCCTGTTACTTTTGTCAGATTCTAAAATAGTCACTCATTTCCTCCTCTTTCCAAGAGAAACCCCCTGTTTTGTTGTAGTGACTAAATCTAGGGTTTCAGCATTTTTTTTTAATGTTTCAAGCAGCGTGAAGGTGGAGGGAAATGGAGATTTCAGACTCAGATCTTTAATCTTTCTCATATTGTTGTGGGTCCATTCCAGGTTGTTTCAATTTATGTGTTCCTTATTCTATTAAAGCTATATGCTATTAAAGGCTTTATCTATCTATTTATCTGTTTATTTTAACATGATTATGACATGCAAAAAATCTTGTTAACAGCTCCCACCAGCTAAGACAGTGCAGAATAAGTGTTATAGATGTCAGTTCACAGTATCTTTATTTAGTCATTTAGCATACATGTCCTGATAAAACAGTGAATCTGAAACGTTCTCAGATAGTTCTGAGAATTATAATTTTTAATTTCTTAAATATGCATCAAATCTCAAATATATTTCTTTGCCGTAACTTTCGTGCATTTTTGGTGGGGTGTATCTTCCCTTTTGCTCTTCACGCTTTCAGGCTTACAGAGATAGGAGAGAGTGAGAACATATTGACTTTACCTACTTTGAGCTTCTCACCTGCCTGGTGCGTAACACTGGCAGAGATTGTATGAGACTATGTAAGAGAAGTAAGAATCAGACTGTGCTTCTGTACATTGCAGTCTCTGGACTGACCCATACACAAGGCAACAATGCAGTGACTGATGCGCAGGGACGATGTCAAACAGTTAAGCCCTGGGTAAAGTGCTATTTAGGCCAGATAAGGCTATCACAGTATGTCCACCTTGTAAGTTGTTTTTTAAAAGGTTTTTTTGTCTCCAAATTCTTTCTTGGTCTAACAATAAATGTTAGTGTAGTACTTGAAAGTGTCAACTAATTAACTGGATTTTCTTTGTCTTTCTGCGTGGCTGTTTTGTGCTGTTATTCCACCCTGGGTATTTTATGTGTAAATATGTTTATGGATGACAATGGTATCATCTAATTCATCATAAATACAACTAAACAGTACATGGGGGAAAGCCTGAGGAGCACAGCTTTCCCCTAATGCTCAGTTCTTTTGAAGGACAAAAGTCTACAAGTATTCCTAAACCTACCAGAAAATCAAAAGATAAAGCATCTGAGAAGACAGAAAAAGAGAAGTCCAATGAAGAAAGAGGATCACATGTCTCTCTTGCATCTCGACCTGAATCTCAGGTAAGGACAAAGCCAAAACCTGCATTCGTTGAATGTGCTATTATTCTGCTGAGTGTAAAGATACTTTCAGGTCTGCAGGTCAGTATTACTAGCCATTCTAGAGTATCCCTTGCATTTCTCTATGCCCTGCTTTGCCACCTTTTTAGCTTTACACCTGAGATTGAATTACACATGTGAATGACATGCATCCTGCATTGAGAGTTGTAATGTGCTTATTTCTTTTTTTATGTATAAAGCAGCTACTAGTCGTAACTTTTGTTGGTTTAGTTTCTGCTTCTGTTAAAGGTTTATTAAATCCCATGAATTCACCATATTCATGTCCCATTAGTCCCTCATTGTAGCGGTTTTCATGGGTTCCCAGGGCGAGGAAAGAGGTCTTTCCCCTGCAGTGAGTTCCTGTCTTGCTTGTCACAACTGTCATTAGCTTGTGGACATATAATGGCCAAAAAATCGGTACCTACTTGCCTATGTGCAAATTCTTCTCATCCATGATGGGATAATCTGAGTTTTCTGTGATTGACTGAAAGGCTAGTGACAGCCTGTATGTCTTAAAAGTAATAATTGGCTTTATGGATTGCAAACAGATTAATGGAAGGCAAAGAAGAAACTGACAGCTCCTTGTTTAATGGTATTGCTTTTGTTGGAAATTTTGCTGCCTGATGGCAGGTAGTTCAAGGGAAGAGCATCTCCACAGAGTTTTTCATGAAGGAATCTTTACTGAATTGTTTTGTTCACTAAACTTGCTGCACGGTAAAATTCCTATGATTCATATCCACACCCAATTATACAGTGTTCTGGAATACTGTCTTAACCCTTCTTTCAGAGCAGTCTGAGGGGCTGAAGTTGAGGCTGTTGGCCACAGAAATGCAATGCAGCCTCAGGCTGAGTCAGGTTTCTGCCTTCAGCTCCAACGATGGGGCACGCTAGGGGTGCTGGGTGATGGTTCTTGCGAGTACTTCAGTCTGCCACTAAAACGGATGCATGTTTTAAGATGGGACTGCTTGCAGAAAAAGAAGATGCCCAACTTTAGTCTCAAATAAAAGCAGAACTCCTATCTCTACTTCTAAATCTTGGGCCTAAAGCTTCTGGAAATGGTATAGTTTACAGAAATATATGCAGCACAGTATCACGTTCATTGCTCAGACAGCAGAACAGTCTCCTCCATTTCAGGCATTACTTGTACCCTACGGCTCTGCAGAGGCCATGTGTTAAGGTGGTTTCGACAGTTTGGGAAGTGATTGGAAAGAACCTGATCCCTCATAAGATGGAGCAAGAAGTATTTCTACACAAAAAGTCTACTTAAATATAATAAGACTTCTAGTAAAAAAGCTTGTGGAAGGAGAGGAGAGCGGAGGAGCTTGGCAGAGAGATAAGACAATGGCATTAAAATCCGTGCAAGATACTCTTGTTCAGGCAGACAGTTCAGGAGAACTGGGAGTGTGAAGCATGCTATATGGGAGTGGGGAGAAGCATGTAAACACAATACCTTCTAGACATTGCAAAGTATTTTTTCTTTCTTTGGTAGCCACTGTTTTAGTAGTAATGCATGTCAAAGTCTATCCATGTATAATGTATATCAGTTGGGAAATATTACAGAAACATAACTTAATCCTAGATAGTAGTAGTAGTAGATGTATGTTAATGGATACATTACGTTTATGAAACTTCTCTTTCAGCAAGCTGCTTCCAACAAACCGTACTGGACTTTACGTCTAGTTAGTGAACAGAAAGAGGCAGACACTCTGGAGGTGAAGAAAGACACGCAGCGAGCAGAGGAGATCAAAGCCATGAAACAGGCATGGGAGGCTGCAGAACCAGGAAGAGCTATCAAGGTAACATCAGAGTGCAATCTTTGTAGTAATGTTCCGTCACAAGTTCCAGGAGCTGCTGTGGTGGTAGAGCAACAGAGACCTGACTTCATATAGGTGTCCTCTTCAACCACTCCATGGAAGACAGCAAATTTTACACAGCTTAAGGAATCAAAACAGATTATGTGCACAAATTCTGGTCAGGAACTCAGATCATCTACTTTAGATTTCTGTAGATCAACGAGACTTTAGATTCTACTTTACAAAAGAGAAAAGTTTCTCCTTAGAAAGCCCACTACCTCTACACAATTGCATAGCTGCTACTTGTGACAAATTTAATGTTTAGTATGAACAGATTCTAGTGAGAAACACTGTTATAAACATGCCAGAAAGATTTCTCTTGAAGAGCTGGCACCTGGCCCTGTCATCATTCAAATTGTCCCTTGCAATCAGGATTCCCAAATTCATTCTGGGCTGCAGGTTACCCATGAGCCTGTATGAATTCACTGTTTTGGAGAAGCAGTACTAATCAGATGTCAGCTGCAGCAGGTCTCTTTTGACATGCGGTATGCTTAAGGTGGAAAAATAATACAGCTTCTTTCTAGAAAAGCAAAACGTTACACTGCTGATTCAGAATTGCATGCATCTTTACCAAAAAAGGAAAATAAAAGAGCAAAATGCAGTCTTTAAACTTACCTGACCGTCATCCCCTGTCACCACCACCAACAACAACCATTGAGGGTTACTCAGCCAGAAACTCCAGCTCAGGAGCATTTTGCCTTTTTTATATTACCTTTCAGAAAAGAACCTCAGACAGGGATCTTCCCAGGTACACCTGCAGATTTTCTCAGTTCTCTTCACTGTATCCAGAGCTCGAATTTTTTTCTGATACTACTTTATTAAATTCTGATCTCAGGAGAGATGCCTTACTGTGCAGCTTTGATTGGCTGTGCTGAGGCTGAAAATGCAGGTACAGCCTCTAAAAGATTAGCTGGAAGTGGATCCCCTTTGATGTGTAAAAAGTCTCTTCAGAATGCTGGTTCTATCACCGTTGCCTTTTTTGATCAGAAAATCAACTGAATTAGAGCTAAAGGCTTCCATTTTAAAATCCCCTTAGGTCTGCGACATTTCTCTAAAACAGCTGTCGTTAAGAAAATTGCAGCAGCTACACGCAGTACGCGAGAAAAGGTGGTCTAAACTGGGAGGTGTGCTAACAAGAATAAGTAGTTTCCTTTTTCCTTTCTTCCTGTTCACGCTGCCCCAACATCTGCCTATTCGAGGGTCACATGTGCCATGAATCTGGGAATTGGGTACCTGACTGCAGGCTGATCTTTGGCTTCTTGGTCCATTCTGCCAAACTGAGCCCTTAGAGAAAGCCTTGTGAGTCAAAGTCACCTTCTGAAAAGACAGAAGTGATGATGCCTGGGTTTGGCATCCAAGGTAATTGAGTCTGAGAGGGTTTGCAGCTATAGCTCCCATTTCTCAGGAGGAAGACTGTATCGCCAGGCTATAGGAGCTGCTAGGAGGAAGCGATGTTTCCCTAAGGAGGTGCAATAGGTGAATGTATTCTGACCATACATTCAGCTATGAGGGAACCTTGCTTTTCAGGCTTGGGAATTTTTTTTTATATCCAAATATTGTTTTAAACTGCCCAGAGATCAGTAATTTTCCAGCATTTCATTGCACGCTGATCTTCAGTGTAAGTATTCAGTGTCTCAGGACTGCTTCAATGGGAACCCTGCATCTTTTCAGACTCCAGTCCCAGGCAGAGTTGCATACTGCGTACTGCACTCTGATGTGAGACTTGTTATTGACGGCATCGTTTTCTCCTCTGGGATATGTACTAAACACAGCCAGTATGCATTGAGTGGAGTGAAACCTTTCGAAGTGTACTGCCCGCTTTCCCTTTTACTGAACTACCATCCCACAAAGGTTTACTTAGGGGGTTCTTATTTATGTGCTCAAGACATACTTGATAGAAATCAAAGATGAACTTTAAATACGAATGCTAATTTATTTCTCCTCTACATAACACATTAAAACTAAACAAATGAAGGTTCCAAAACATTACTAGAAAAATTGGATGTTTAATGTTGACAGGTTATTTCAGGGGAAAAAAAAAATCTATTGGAGACATGGCTTGAATATGACTGACAAGAAATGTGGCCCTCATCTTTTTATCTCCCCAGGGACTCACTAATGGTATTCCTGTTGTTAGCGGTGATGTTTTCATAGATCAAACCAGTGAAACATACACACCAGTAATATGAAACAGCATCATATCTCACATGCACTGGATTTGAAGTTTTACTGTCATATCGATCACTTATAGATTCCTACTGTTGAAAATTCCTTGGAATTTAAAGTATGTTGTAGAAGTTTTCTTATCTGGATTAAAACTTGGATGTCTAGGCTTTTCAGGAACGCATGCGGTTTATTAATAAGTATGCTGTGAGAGATTCGGAGGAGCCCATAGCTGGGACTGAGACTGCCAGTTTAACAGCTAGTTCAGGAGAAAGAGGTAAGGGTGTAACTTTCTGTCAAGCGCGTCTTCGGTTCATCACGTTCAGTTCCTTAGAAAAGACTTCAGCATTAAATACTGGTAGTAAAGGGATAGAACAGCCCCCATAAAGGTGTCCGAATGCACAATGGCACATTTAGCCTCAGTCTTCTCTATCCCTTCATTGCTTTAATTGTTGTGTTGCTGTGTTTGCAGACACAGATGCAGTCTCACTGCTCTTGGAGGCTGCCAAGTTACCCTTAAGCAAACTTCAATCAGTCTCTCTGTACTAGAATTCTAACCCTAAATTAACCTGAAATTTTTGGAAGTTCAATGGAAAATACCTACATCCTCAGTTCCAAGTTGGATGACAGAGGTCATTAGTGTAGAAATATCATGTCAGTGAGACTAATGCTTCTAATAAGCATTTTGTTTATGTTAATGTTCATGGAAACTATTCATGGACAGTGCTTGGGAAGTGAGGTGTCAAAAAGTGCATACTGAGTAGCATCAGCTTCCTAGCAGCTTCCATAAATGTTGTCTACTTTTATTTATTGGTTACAACTTCTATGGATTCTTTGTTTGTATTCTCTGGCAATGACTAGACTCTGATGAAAATCCGACTGGCTGCAAGGCTGTTGGTTGTGTGTCTTTTCTTCTGAGAATAATGCTGAGATCAGGCCATTACAAAAAGGAGAGTATAATACCCAGTCTGATTTGACAGTATCTGGTCATGACTCATGTGCCTGTAAGATTAGTATTTTGCCAGTCAAGTACGTAATCATCCTGGGAATGTTTCAGAACTTAAAGCAGAAGTAGTCCTCACCTTATGCCGTAGACAAACACATCATTAGATACCTCTTGCATTCCAAATGAACTTGCAAAAAATATTATTTCCTCTAAGTTACTGGATAAGGGCTTCAAAATCAATGGTCATCTGCCAAGAGCTTTGGTCTAGACTAAGCATTTGGAGTCTAATACATGTCTCATGAAGTAAAGAGGTGACACCCCAGTGACTGTCAGTTGCTGTGGTTTGGTTCCATAGAGCGCAGCAATAGGCAATAATGTGCTTGAACGTTCAGTATCGTAACGAGATTTTTTTATGTTCTGGAGAATATTTTCCTGATGGGCAGTGTCTAAGGTCCTTCCAAAGTCCATGTCACCCTTCTAGACCAGGACACAGGGCTGGTACATTTGTCTGTTTATAGACGTAAATACATAGACAATCTTTTTCTTTTTTTTTTTTTTTAAATGCTCAGAAACCTTTTTCCTTTTTTGATGAGAAAATTCCAGTATTATGTTTTAAATGTTTCAACTAATGACTACTCTAAGTAGCATTATAAGAGAGTTTTCATGGAAACAAACTACTGCAGTCATCATTAAATCTCATCAGGTTTCACAGGCATTTTCAGCACATCTGGATGAACGGGAAGCAGGAAGCGCTGGAATAATCACAATGCAGCTTAGCACAGTGGCCTGCTTGATATCAGTTATGTCATTGTATTGCGAGAATGCTACAGTAAAGCATGACATGGTTACTATCCATCTGGTTAAAAAAAGTCTAAATCTCCAGAATGACATATGTTGTCATGGCACCATTTCTCCTTAGACTGGTATTTTCCAAACTAAATCTCTGTGCAAAAAGGAATATAATTTTGGGGTTTTTTTACACTACAGCCAGGAATGAACAATCAGATTTGTATTGATTTTTTTTTTTTAATAAAAGTATGTGATTCCTTGCTGATTTGTTGTTATTATATTCTTTAGGCACTTTAAATTGAATGTTCTTGCTTAGTTTTACAAACCTTCTTGAATACTGTGGACTTAGCTAAAATACATGTATTAATTTCACTCTAGCATACGTGGGTTGTTTGCAGCATCTTTGTTTCCATCATGAGTCTTGGAAATACAAAGGCAGTAATACTATATCCTCTACAACCCATATTCTCATTTAATAATGTTATTTTGCTGGGCCAAAAGAAGAAAAAACTATGCAAGAAATTAGATGGAGCCTCCTCCTAGCATAACTGAATAATCAGTTAAATCTGTTCTGCTGTAGATTTTCTTACCACAGGAAAGAAAGCATCAGAAGCAGCTACTGATTCAAGCCTACACACACAGCAAAAGAGATGGGAGCCTATAGACCTAAGTCCTTACATGAGGTAAAGTGCAGCAGGAACAATTAAGGCCCAGTGAAACCACAAAATGAAAGTCTGGCTAAGGATTTTCATATACAGAAATTAGTAGACAAAATATATATTTTTATGCACTTGCATACTGTCTATAATTGGACGCAGTGTAACAGATGTGAATTGAGACTTTATCCTTCACATGTCATTGAAGTAAACTACAATTCTGTCACGTGCTTGTAAAAGTTGCTGTGAAAATCCTGGCCCCTGTTGTATGTGTCCTTTATGTTGAGTACACAAAATCACCCAGTGGTGAAGCAGAAGTGTAGATGGTATCAAGACAGAGTTTTATGCTTTGATTTTCCTGGCATGGATGTGTTTTAGAATTTGTGCTTTTCTACATCCATTTATAATTCATGTCCTTTCCTTAACATAATACATGTCTGTAAGCTGAATCACTGCGCTTCATGTAGTGAGAATGTGACATAAAAATCTGAAGAAGATGCATGTGCAGGCAAATATTTTGATTGGAGTGGTTATCTTGAAAGAAACACACAGGAAGTTTTTCAGGACATGATGTTAGTTTTAAATAATATATTTAGCAAATGCAGTCCAGTTAACAATAATAGTTAAGAGCTGAAATAATTATATTAATTATAATCTTTATTCAAAAGAACTGCATTCTTTATTACGGAACTTGATATGAACCTGTCTAGCTCATATACATGAAGCTGCATGTTTGCTGTGTTGTAGTTAGAACCCAGTTCATGCTTAAGTCCATTTGTATTCTATGTGGCATTTATGAAGCTCACTGATTTTTCAAAAGACATGCTGAACATGCCAAAAAAATCCCAAATTTAATTTTAAGTTGAAAGGGAACCTGCTGTTTTGTGGAAGTGAGTAACATTTAAACAGTAGAAAATAAAGCAAAATATAATCCATAGTCTTGACTCTTTTAAGTATTTAATTTGTCTCCAACTCCCTGACTTCTGCACTAGTCATTTAAGTCAAATTATAAAAATACGTTATCCACCTGATTGCCATTATACCAACGGGGGGAAAAAAAAATGCATTTGTCTCAATGCTGAATTATAATATCAAAAACTTCTGGATGACATTTATTGCAAATTAAAGATAAGTGTAACATGTAAGAGTTTTTCATATGCTCGAAGATGAGCATAATTTTACAAATATTTTTAAAATAGACACTCAAGTATTGAGAAGACCTGGCCTCAGAAATGTACTTTCTCATTGGTGTTATAGATAAGCACAGGGAAAATGACTCCTTAGCCATATCTAACCATCCAGTGGTGACGTTGCAGTATGTAAGCCAAATATATGCATATTAAGCAAAAATATGAACCACTCAAAACTTTATTTGAAATGAAAAATCTGTGTTTCCTTCAGAAAAACAACATCTGAGTCTGTGGTAAGAAACGAGTCTATCATTCAACAGCAAGAGATACGTAAAGCGGAAAAAATCAACCATTTCAGGGAACTTCGAGAGCTGGTTTTGGCACAAAGAGAAGAAGAAAAAATAGCCAGAGCTTTATTGAAGAAAAATATACTTGAAATGTATGAGAATATGCAGGTAGGTTTACAAGATTAGTTTCCAGTAACTATTACTGTGATGTCCACTGCTCTTATGAATATCTTGATTAACCATTCCAGAGACTTTTGTATTCAGTACCAATAATTAGAAACAATGAACAAGCTTGAGATTTTGCTTGGGCAAAGGTTAAAACTAAAGGTTCTAGGAGGAAAAAAAAAATAGTACTACATGACATCCTTAATATGACATTTTTGGTACTTTCTTGATACAGCTCTTAGCAAAAACTCAATTTTAAGAATATCATCATAAAAGGATAGTTATGGGAATAAATTGAGCATTTGACATACATGACCAGATGCATATTAGATGAAGCATCTCTGGTTTGGCTATTTTTTTTTTGGTTACGGAATTGTATAGGGCTGTTTGGAAGGTTATAAGGAACAAGATAGTTTACATAAGAAGGTGAGTTGCTCCTACAGCAAAGTTAGAGAACGCTGTTTTCCTGGAATATGCATGATGCCAGCAAGCAAAAAAAATTGCAATTATTAATCTTTGAAAAAACATGTCTGTAAATAAGAAATTTGGTAGCAGTAGTAGCATTTTTAGGAATAACTCAGCCAATGCATTGAAATTGTTACAAATATCTTAACAAAATTGGCTTAACCCTTGAGTGTCAACAGAAACAAAATGTTCTGTTACACAGTGGTGATACAGTAACCACTAGCAATTAGCTGGTGACTATTCAGAGCCCTTAAAACAGGATAAGAGACAGCAAAAATAATTTTACATCAGACCAACCTATTTACAGAAATCGTTTGAAAATATCTCCTTAACAAGTTCCCAGACAGCCTGATTTATATTACCTCACTGCAAGCCTGCAAGAAGCCATAGCTCTCTACCAGTAACTGATTGATCCTATAAGAATGCCTGTCCGGGTTTTCAGATGTTGCTATCATTTTGGATGCCTAAAATATTAGAAGGGCAAATTTTTATTGAGTAGTTCTTCGGTTCTTTCTAGAAAGTATGTCCACTAAAGATGTTTCACAGTATGAATTTAAAAGGAGAGTTACTTGTAAATATGCATAGTGTGCTGATTAGCACTTTTACAGGTTTTTTTTTTTTTCATCTGTAGAGCACAGAGAACTGTATAAAGGTATCCAGGTAGCCCCATCTTCCAGGCTGGAGATGTATAGGAAGGAAGTTTTCAGGAGTGTTCAAGTCCCACTTGCCCAGGGTCTCATTGAACACCAATGTGATTTAGGCTGCTTTAGTCTCCTGAAAGACTAAAGCTCCTAGGCCACTCTGGTATTTCTGAAAACTATGTTTTAAGGGACTTGTTTAAGACAACAAAGCGAGCCCGTAACTGAGGAGAGACTGGACCCAGGTGGGTAACTACTCTGTTGCCCTATCTCATTTCATACAATTAGCTAATTATGCCAGCAACTTAAACAGTATTTTCATGAAGCTTTTCTTCATGGGGAAGAGATTGACATATAGCTGTGTCACTGTGACAAATGAAGAAAAATACATGTAAAAAGAAAAGGAGAGATGCTTTCTTTGGGCTTGTAGGGTCACAAAGCAAAATATAACTGAAAGGATGCAGTTCCTAGTGATGAAATCAAGATTCATGTGGAGGGGGGGTACTGCTGTTTGTTTTTGGCTAGGCATCCTTAGATGAAGCACGAGACAGAGTTCACAGCATGCGGGAGGCGTACAGAAGTAAGCTGCTAGAGGCTGAGCGCAGAAAACAAGAAGAGCTGGCAGCTCATGAAGCAGTCCTGCAAGCAGAGCAAGAGAAGCAAAGCCCAAATGCACACAAAAAAAAGCACAAGAAAGGTTTAGGGGAAAACAAGTAGTTGCTAGCGCTGTTGAATTGCATTTAACCATTTGAGAAAGTTTATATGCAAAGATGAGAAGGAATGTTATTTTCAGTATTTTTTCCCTATTATATCACATTTTATCTCTTTGCCTGGTGCTAGTGAAGCAATTGATCTAATACTCTTGTTAACAAAATGTTTGGTATTTTGCTTCTCATAAAGGTACTCACTACTATTACAGTTTGTACGTTTTACCGAAATAAAGTTTGGCAATAAAAAGTCATTTTCCATTCAGATTCTTCTCTCAAAATCGGTGTCTTTTGTTCTCTTTTTCCAGTCAAAACAGGACCACTCAAGAATGAATCAGAGTTGAAACACTGAATGTAACCTATCAGTTTTGAAGTCATTTAACTTGGCAGAAAAACGAGCTCCTTAAGTGGATGACAATTTGTGGAGTTTCTAATAATTAAATAGTGGCATACCACAGTTTTCCTATGCAGGAATTGGAAGGATTCCAAAGCCTGGTTCAGTAGGCACTCATAGGCTTTCTGTGTACTGTAGTATTTTTCCCTTTCATCATTCTCTTAAGTGGTTTTGAATCTCACTACATAAACTCTGTAGTGGCAAGCTCATGGCACAACTTTCCAAGGCTTGCTGAATACTCCTTAAAACCCTCTTTGTTTATCTTTTCTGAGCTGTGTTTGGTCCATGGTGGCTTTGCTCAAAGTGATTTCAATAGACCTTCGGCTGGAATTTAAAAATGTTTCTCAGTGGTAGAACCAGCGTATGAATGAGGTGGCAATCACAGGCTTTCTACGTGAAGGGTGAAATATTTCCTCTAAGCTCTTGCTTCTGTTAGCACAGAATTCTTATATTTTTTAGTCCTGTCATCAAACACAAATGAAAAATGTGCATTCGTATTCCCTAGCTAGTGTTCTGTACTCAGAGACAATGGTCAAAACTCTGAAAATGGTGAAAAACCTCTCTAGACGAGAGTGAACTGTTTTAAATGGCTTAAAGAGTTTTCTGTGCATGTAGTCACAAGCAGAAGCTTGGGAAGTTAGTCTGCCTACATGCTGTATACATACAATATGTTCGGGAAGTCTAAAAGAATTTCATTATCCAGACAACACGAGATTCACGCATTTAATGCAAATCACAAGAAATTTTATCCCTTGTATTCTGGCTGCTGGTACTGCCTAGCCTTTGCATTCGAAACTAGCCTTTCTTCTGCATCCCAGCGGCCTACCAGATGTTTAGCTTCTGCTGGTTTTGCACACCTCTGTTGTATCAGTACCTTGCCACCTGGCTTGAACTCGTCTCACTTCTCTATCAGTTCTGCGATGTCTGTTCATTGTTCAGCATCCCACCTACACACCTGCTGTGATGGCTCTGCCTCCATTCGGCCTCCTTCTTCCCATACACCATAAAGTAACTGGCTTGGGTTTTCGTGTTTGAAAAGGAGCAGTTGAAACCAGAGCCCTACAACTGCACTAGTGATTTTTATTTCAAAGAGCAGGAGCTAAGTTTTGCTTTGACCCATGCAGGCTGCAAATAAAAAGCCTGTCAGTCTTGTGCTATAATTGCTCTGACTTTGTCCTCTCTATTTTGGAATATGGGCTATACTGCTTCATAATATTCCATCTTGTTTCCATGGCAATAGCACGTGTTGGTTGTCTTCTTATGTGAATCTCTAATGAGCTTCTGTAGAGGAAGATCAAGCTGAAGTTCTGTTCTTGATGTCACTGCAAGCTATAATGACATTCTGTTGTAAAAATCAATCCAATTCCAAAAGCCAGCATAATCGACATCTAAATGTCAAAAATTCAGCTAATAACCTGCATGATCACAACCCATCCCTGAATGTAATCAGCTATAAACTGACTGAAACTCAGACACAGTGTACTCAGATCTACATTATCAAATCTAGTTCTGATGTTATACACAATTCTAAGTTTCATAATTTCCTCATTTTAAGGAGTAATGTGGTATCGTCAAAGTCTGCTGTGTGGTTTGGGAATGTCTCCACTGGCTCATCTATCATTCCAACAACAGATACGATGAGGGAGTGAATTACTGTCACACTGTTTAATTGCATGTACTTTGGAATATGTAATGGTTTGAGACGCGCAGTAGGAGCTTTATTTAATCCCTGTGCGTATTCCAGAAAAAAATATCCACTTACCTCATAATGGAACCTGGTAGAGAAAATGCCTTGTTTGAATTGTGCCGAAGAATGTACATACATCGGACCCAGGAACAGGTGACTGATGAAATCTCATAAGCATCAGTTTTACATCAACGCCACAGCTCTGTGTGCTGTATTAAAGGCTAGGTTAGTGGGGAAAGAGGTACAAAAACTAAACCAAAAGGTAACTGTATTTCAAAATAGCCATTTAAGGAGCCATCATGTTTAGTACTTGACTGTAAGAGAAACAAACTAGTAAAACAATATGATGTGTTCAAATTGATGTGATTGTTGCCTCCAGTCTGTAGACCAAGTTTCCCAATAGTCAAATTTTGTGTTCATATGGATAAAGCATTTTTATTCTTTTGCCCTTTAGGAGTAAGGCAGCTTTTAAGCACCATAATTTTATGAAATTTAAGCAACCTTTATATCAAAGGAATTTATTGCCGTTATTCAGTGCAAGAAATTGCTCAAATTCTGTTTTTACAGATTGTACGTTTCAGAAATACCCAATATTGCATCAAGCATTCATATTTTCTTAAGGTTTCCTATAATAAAAGCTCTGGGCTTTGGACAGTCATAATTCCTGCTTATACTCAGCGTGGCCATTCAGGGCCAGACTCGGTAGGGGTGTAAGGACAAGCTTTAAGTTACGTGCTTTCTTATTCAGTAAAGGACTTTGGCAAAGGACTGAAAGATGGGGTCAAGCACTTGGGAAAGCTTTTCTGAATCATGACATGATTGCCCGATCTTTTAAGATGACAGTCGCGTTGGAGATGCGACAGAGCAGTGGCTGCATCAAAGGTATCTGGTGGCTTCAAGTCGCAGAAAGGAGGGTTTGGGGAGTGGGAGCAGCTGCCACTGCAGGGAGAGGGGTGAACAGCTGCCTTCTAACACTTCTTACAGTTAATCAACCCTGAAAGGTTCATCACCTACACAGCATCTAATTTTTGTTCATGGAAGACTCTGTATATGAAGAACAGCCCCCGTAACTATGTTGATCTCGCAGTGCTGAAGTTTAGTTGTCTTGTGACTTGGAGAGTGACATATTTCTCCCCCAAAATGCCGTCTTACTCCTGAAAACGCTATGGCAATAGCCATCCCTGTAGGTAGATGAAGAGGATGGGATGCTCCAACTGTTCCAAAACCCTGATCTGTCTCTGTCAGAAGATTGCGCACTTCTCACAGAGCTGGTCTCCGGTATGCTGGTAAGATTTTGTGTGATTCTCCCACACCTGAGTACCTCCAGCTCATGAGCCAAATACAGAACTCATTCCGATCTCTGAGTTTAAAATGCAGTTGGACAGCCTCTGAGTATCTGGTTGTGTCTGAGGACTTGCACAAAGGAGAGTCCCAGGAACCAGCACAGTGGCATGCAAGAGCCAAGCCTGGCTTTCCTCCCGTGGACCAGCCGTGCAGTCTGAGAGACCTGGTGAGCACAGAGCTTAGGGCAATGCTGCACAATTACACTTTTTTGTTGGCTGAAATTTAGACTAAAGATTTAGTGATTCTTCAGAGCAGGGGGCATCCTTCAGAGCATCTTTAAGGCTGTGCTGCATTTTGTAGTCATAAAACCAAGAAGATAATTTGTTTCTGTACTGATTCCTGATATTTATTTTCTTTCATATGGAGTAGAGCCAGTTATACAAAGGAAAATGTCACTGTTCAGCAGAAATTTTTTAAAAGTTTTGATGGAAACTGAAAATGCCACAGGAGAATGAAAACTTTTCAACATGTTAGACTGCATTGTGAATAATCCCTAAAGAACTCCTTAGAGTTTGCTTGCTTTTCTTCTACATTTTAGGAAAAAAGGTAGCATTCACAAAGCGAGGCAGGTACCGGAGAAAGAAATTAAGTCTTTGACTTGATAATTCAGTTTAACGGGGATTAACTCTCTAAAGAGTTAATCACTCCTAATAATTCATTGTTCTGCTAAGCTTTAGTGGTTTTCACTGCTTGATCCTTTTCTTTTGACCAGCTATTATGAACTAGAAAGGATCTTTTTCATTAAAATACATATCTGAAGTTACTTTTCAACGCAAGTAGCTTCATTAATCTTCAAATTACTTGTCCCATCTGCTTTCCTTTAATTTGGCTGGCATTTACACAATGAGTTACAGACCAAAAACCAGACCAAGCCCGTTCCAGGATGCCTCGCTGCTGAGACAAGCAATGTGCTGTGAAACCAGGCTCGGTTCTGAGCTGACAGTCTGCTCACCCCGGCAGTGTGCAACTTACCATCTACGTAAGGTCTCGTTTTAATACAAGGGAGAGACACAGCATTTATGCACATGCACAGCATTTCCCCTCCAAATGGCAAGAAAAGTGTCTACATATTTTGTCTGTCAGAAAACATAAGAGAACAGCTTTGCATAATCACACAGCAGTTTGCAGAATGAAAGAAATCTCACTCTCAGAGCCCCTTTTCCTCTCATTCATTTCTTGAATCAGCCCTAATAGATTCACGGTCCAGGTAATGTTTCAGTGATTTAATATTCTGATTATTTTCAGAAAACCAAGGTATTGTTGACCTCCTCTCCAAGGAGGACAAAGATAGAAAAGAAGTAGAAAGTCAGGGAAGGAGAGGAAACAGTCTGCACTGTATGAAGTGAGACAATAGCACCATGAAAGGTGCATTGATGATGCTTCTAGCCAAAACAAGAGGAAACAGATGGGATGGTCAGGTAGGACTCAGGACCTTTGATTTCTGTAGCAATAAGAATGTGGTTAGGGACAGTGGTTCAGGGACTGGCAGGCTAATCTGAGAATGAGATAACGGACAGACCTGAATGTAGCCAGGTCACCCCACTTTGGGCGAGATCTGGATGCACACTCCCCTGAAGCATAGGCTCCTCTGCCCAACACCTGGACTTCTCCCTAAGGGCAAGTGCCAAAATGCTCGCTCCTTCCAGGACACATAAGAGGTCTTTGCTTTGCACATGGTAGCCCAGGGGCTGGAGTGCTATCCATGGAAAGCAATAGCCAGGCTTCTGTACCCTTAGCCTGAGGGAGCTGAAGTGGACTCCGTGAGCACTGCCCCACGCATCAGGGCATCACAGACATCTCTCCCAGCTATGCCCGACTTGGGGCCATCGTGCAATGCTCACAAGACCAGGCACAGAGCACAGTAAGAGAGAGCCCGAGTCCGTCTGAGCTGGATCATTGCAAAGCCGGAACATGAGAAAAGGAGGGATACAGCAGCTGCATGTTCAGGCATGTTGGTTTAACTCGATAATACATCAGATTAATGAAGCGTCTTGCTAATAACAGACCACTGTTTTGTGGCCTGGAGCATCCTAGATTTAATTTCCATTCCATGGCTGGACATTTTACAGGTGGCAAACCCAGAAGACATCAGCTGCAGACAGGGTACAAAGCCACTCCAGGCAGTCAGCTGTGGCACAGCTAGGAACAACTAGGACTACTTCAGACAGAGAGAGAGCAGAAAGTGGCTCAAGGGACACAAAGGGGCACTGAAAAATCCATCCTTCCTCCTCTCTACTCTGCCCATGCCAGAGACCACAACGCAACTCCACCCCTTCAGCTTTAAGGCCACAAAATTCTTGTGTGTTTTTTTTTTTTTTTCTTTGCTGTAGAAAAACCTTGAGTTGGCTCTGGAGGCAGTTGTTGGCAGAGGCTGGAACCAGAGATCTAGAAATGCTGGGAAGACTAAAGCTGCTCCACTTTCAGCCATCTGGGGAGACAAGGGGATGAAAACTTGTATGTCACAAGGTTTTACATATCCCATAAAACTACAGATCTTGGGAACTGGAGAAAGATAAGACCAGAAATTAGTCACAAGCACCTAAAGCGATGATTATACTTTTCTCTCTTATACCACAGGAATGTGGCATGAGGGGATGCGAGATTCAGCTAAAGAAGCAATCAGAAGCTGCTTCCACTCACCTGTTCTTACTCTTGATAGAATGAGTTTCACAGCACTTCCCCGTCATCATCAAAAGCATTAGGAAAAGCATGGGAATGCTTTTCTGTTGTTCTAGTGCAAAAGGTGGGTTTCCCAAAAGCACATTTCTCAGTCTTGCTTTAGTGGCTTTCACAAAACCTACTCAGTGTTAACAGCTTCAAAGACTTCATTGGCATCTCGGCTTTTTTGAGGTTTTTTTTTTTTTTTCCTCCCATATATATTACTGGCTTAACACATTGCAGCTGTGATGTTGCAGATGAAAACTGTTTTGATAATTGGTGCTCTGAAATACCATTTTATGCTTTGACTGAGATATTCAAGTGCTGTTTAGGGTGTTTGTCTATATCCATATCTGCTTTCTCCTAAGGACTCTCATTTATTCACCACAAAACAAATAAAAATCTGGAAACCTGGCTGAGAATAACGTACTTCTCTGCCATGCCACTTACAAATTGGATGCAGAGAAAAGCACGTCAAGGTGAGGTGTCATTCTATTTCCAGCCTTCTCGCTGACTTTAGGAAGAGCTAGAGGTCTATTATTTTCTCCCACGTATTTACTGGCACATGTGCCGAGTATATCGTCCATATAATTTAACTCACAGCCAGCACTGGTACAACAGTGCCGGCATGCGGTGCAGAACAATCGCAAACCGGGTGCAAGACATTTTTTAAGGTGAAGTCCCTGCTCAGTGGAATTCAGCTGGAGTGTTGCTAGAGCCCAGGGCTTTGCCAGTGGGATGCACGGGGCAGGATGTCATGAGCTACTGCCCGTGACAGCCCAGGGAAGTGCTCTGCTGTCGGGTACTAGAGGGCACAAAGCCTCTTTGTCCCAGGTTCTTGCAGGGGTTCCACTGGTTTCGTTGCTGGTTTCATACTGTCGCCCTGGTAGCAATGTGGCTACGTGGGGAAGCAACACAGAGAAAGTGGAAAGGACTCTAAAGAGAAGCCCACAGAAAGGCGGTGCCACAGTCATGATTTTTGACAAAAACAGCACAGAGAGCAGAGGCAATGTCTAACTCTGGCCAACTAACCTGGAGGCTGAGTCATCCAGCCACTTTTAAAAATTCATAATGATGATTGTTGCCTAGAGGAATTTCTGAAGTGAGATGTGAGTTGTGTCAATACCAACAGGTCACACACACTGTGAATAAGGCAATTAACAGAGTGTTTAGCTTACTGAATGGCTTGTGATTTTTTTGTGTGTGTGTAGTCCTGATCCTTTTTTTCTCATGTAAAAAATCTAACATGTTTTATTTGTTAAAATATGACAGCTTTACGGTCCTTCCGAGGAGCCTGCACCTCCTACCAGCCTTACAGGTGTTCCCCGTCTCATAAAAGCACAAACCAGTCGAGCAGCCGAGCACACTCTGAGCGCTTCTTCACCCAGCTCGAGATCTATTATTTTTTTTTCAGCGTGGGGGCAAAAAGAAGCGTTTATCCACCACCAGCTTAGGCCCCAGCACAAGCCTAAGGCTCGCCCAAACCCCGGGCCAGACGGGCTGGTC